CAGGATCATCATCAAACTCACCATCCTGCTCTGTCTCAGCTCCCCCTTCAGGAGAATCATCTGATTGTGGAGGAACTGGATCTAGATCAACAGGAATCTCAGGTGAAGATTCTGGCATCTCGCCTTTTCTCATATCATCAATGGTCTGGTCTTCAAAAAAGATCATAGCTCTGCTTCTGAAAACTTTCTTCTCTATAGGATCCCAAAGTCTGTACCCAAAATCATCATTTCCATACTCCAAGAATACACACTACTCTGATTTGCCATCAAGCTTCGACCTTTCATCTTTGGGAGTATGAACAAAGGCACGACAACCAAAAACGCGCAAATGTCTAAATGAGACATCTTTCCCTGTCCAAACTCGTTGTGGTAGATCACCATCCAACGGAACTGAGGGAGATAGGTTGATCAAATCAACTGCAGTCTGCATGGCTTCACCCCAAAAAGATTTAGGCAGCTTTGCATTCGAGAGAATACACTTAACCTTTTCGGTAATAGTTCTGTTCATTCTTTCTGCCACGCCATTCTGCTGCGGAGTCTTTGGAATACTCTTCTGAAGTTTAATGCCATGGTCTCGGCAATACTTCTCAAACGGACCCCTGTACTCACCACCATTATCTGCTCGAACACATTACAACTTCTTGCCAGTCTCTCATTCAACTCTAAGGTGAAAGTCTTTGAACACATCTAATACCTAATCTTTAGATTTCAAAGAAAAACACCAAACCTTTTGAGCATAGTCATCAATGAAAGTAACAAAGTACAATGCTCCACCCAACAACCTATCTTTCATGTAACAGACATCTGTATGAACTTACTCTAGAGGACTGAACTTTCTAGATGAAGGAGAATTTTGAAAGGAAACCCTATGTTGTTTACCATAGATATAGACAACACAAGGTTCTAGAGCAGTACCTTTAACCTCTGGGAGAAATTGCTTACCAAGAATCTGCAACCCCTTAACACTCATGTGTCCAAGCCTTCTGTGCCAGAGATCAATAGAGGCATTGTGAGTCACATTCACCTCTCCATTCGTCAACTTTGCATTCAACACATACAAAGAGTTCAACTTCTTTCCTCTAGCAATAACAAGATTCCCTCTAGTAATTGTCCAACGGCCACCACCTTCAGTGCTATGATAACCCTAATCATCAAGTTTACCAACGGAAATAAGGTTCAGACGCATATCGGGAACATGTCTGACATTCTTCAAGACAAGAGTAAAACCTGTATTCGTTACCAATGATACCTCTTCCGTGCCGACAACATCGCATGAGGCTTGGTTGCCCATTCTTACACGACCAAAATCTCCAGGTGTGTAAGAGGTAAAGAAGTGTCTGTGAGGCTTCACATGATAAGACGCACCTGAATCACCGAACCAATCACTGTCGTGACTCGCAACATTAATTGTATCATCATCACAGTACACAAATACATCACTGGTAGTTACTACTGCAGTAGTGTCATCATTACTTGATTCATCCTTCTTGCCTTTACCTTTTCTCGCTGCTAGTTCTCTCTTGAGAACCCTGCACTCCCTCTTAAAGTGTCCATTCCCTTGACAATGGTAGCACACGACATCTTTCTTGGATTTAGACCGTCCCCTGGACTTGCCATTCCAATCACGTGGCCCTCTGCTTTTACTTCTCCCTCTTATGTCTGACTTTTCTGTCAGCAGAGCCTACGCCTCAGACTCAATACTCTGCTCTTTTCTTCTGACTTCTTCATTCGTCAAAGCCTCTTTGACCTAATCCAAGGTCAAGACACCATCCTGGGTTGAATTACTGATTGACATTACCGAAGTGTCCCAATTGTCTAGAAGAGAACTAAACAATAACAAAGCATGCACCTCATCATCAAACTTTAAACCTACATTCACAGCTTGGTTCAACGAACCCCAAAACGAACTCAAGTGCTCATTTATGTTAGCACCATCTTTGTACCTCAACCTGGTAACTGTTTGGTGCGGATGACTTATTGATGCGGACTTCTTCCAAGACATATTCGGATTTTCTCCAAAGTTCATCAGCTTTTGTTTCTCCCGAAAAGTGATGAAACACACTTTGATCAATCCACCGTCGAATATTACCAACAGTCTTCCTGTGCATATCAGCCCACTTTTTATCAGTCATATCACTTGGCCTACCTTCATCCCCTAGAACAGGATCAAACAAATCTTTGCAATACAACAAGTCTTCCATTCTAGGTTTCCATATATGATAATTGGATGAAGTTAATTTAATCATCGTACCAGCACCTGATGACTCTTCTATTTTATTGGTGTAACACCTCAACTACCGAACCATGGCTTTGATACCACTGTTGTGGCGGAAAGGGTATAAAAACAACAAACCAGCGGAAACGATTCCCAAGAAAAACTCCTTTCCTACTACCAATAAAATAGGACAACCAACCAAACAAACAACTAATTCAAGAACTGATAAAGTAAAGTAGAGACACAAATTTACGTGGAAACCCAAATCGGAAAAAACCACGGGACTGTAACAACAGTCAAATCTCCACTATCACAATAATGGAAAAACAGTCTTCACCAACCGGTGGATACACAGAACTTCACCCAAAGGTGGATTACAACAATAATCTTCCAAAACACCTATCATAGAATAGGACTGGAAGGATCTAACCAAATGAGAGTTAAACTAAAAACTAAACCCTAGCTTTCTTTCTTTTTCTCTCGCACAAAACTAGTGCGGCTGCCCAACTTGGCTGAAAAACACACACCTAAAAATTATGACAAAACCTTGCTTTTATAGAGCAAAAAACCAAAAAACCAATTCCAATTAGTTTTGCTTACTCGGCCAAACCAAACAAATCCAAGTTGGATTTTGACTTCCACCTGTGGTGGGCCTAATTGAGGGAAAAACCGGCCCAACACAAGTAGACATGTACTTGTGCATTGTGCAACTGTTGTCTACCATCTGTTTGTAAAATAAGATTTGAATTCTTTGTATCCCATGTCATCTAATGTTTTGTACTACAAATTAGTGAAATAATTGCGCCAGTACTTTACTTGATATATTATAATAGCTAGTCTGTTCGTATAATGCTCCTTTGTAATTACAATAATCTTGACAAGGGTATAAAAAATTACACAAAATTTTCATTATTTGGAAAATTAATGACGTACAACTTAGCACGAATATATAAAACTGAATTTTTATTCCACCAAAACTTTGCCAAGATTAAAATATTTGCTCGGATCAGATATTGCTAGTTGTAGTAATTATACTTGGACCAACAGTGTATGAAGAAGCCATTTTATATGGTCGTAGATTTTTCTGGGCAGAGGAAAATTGGTGCAAAATTCCACCCAACAGAATCCATAAAAGAGATTTAAGTTGTCTTACCAAGTCAAGATTCTGGCTTTTCTCCTCCACTTCTTTTAAGCCCATCTATTTTCTTCTTCTATCAATGGTTTACGTGATGCCAATTTGTATACCTCGAAACCGCGAAGTTCCCCAACATCAGAGTTGTAACATTGATCTAAGTTTCTGCAATAATAGAAACCAAATGAGAAAAACTATCCCGAAACCAAACTAGTTTCTTTTTTGGAATGCAACACTTTATATAAATTGCTCGGCAATAACAAGGGATTAATCAAGAATACATTTTCAAAGAATTCCCAAATATCTTACCAGGAAAAATCATCATTGTCATCGTCCGCAATAAAGCACAACTTGGAGTGAATCGAGAAGGCAAAACCAATAGACTTTTTATGTGCACTGGTATTGGGGAGTGGGGACATGAAGTTCGAAGAAGTTCTTAACCAGTGCTAGAATGAAAAGAAAGTTTATATAATAAGGCTTGAATATTGGTGGGGGAGGTAGTTGTACGCGAATTCATTGATGAATTAATGCAGGTACTCCTTTCGAATTCATAAATATGTCAGAATCTTAGTCGTCTCTATAAATTTAATGATTAATTGATATCTATACGGTCCTATCAATTTCAATCCTATCTTTATTTTCCAAAAAAAATTGATCTTTCGAGTAGTTGTGGAGGTCCCCTTAGGATGAATACTAGAAGTGAAATATTAATTTTGATGATCCATAAAATTAGTTTCACTCCAAGTCGGTTTACTTTAATTAAGTAAAATCTTGTGCATAGTGGTTAGAAAGTTAGAGTGCATAATCACTTCATATTATGTAACTTTTTGTAGTTATAGATTAGTTTTTTGGTAGTTATGTACATAGTACTTCCTCCGAATATTAGTATATTCAATAAACTGACTGTTTTCTCTTAAGAAAAGAGAGTATATTTTCTTTAAAGCTTGTAACTAATCCGAGGTTAAGAAGAATTATATATATTTAGTCTTGCCAATTTGCTAACTTACATCTGAGATCAACGTCTCTCAGGAGACCATAAAAAAAATAGCCTCGTCTTTAATTCTTTTAGCAAACCAGAATTAAATCTGCAAATTTGTTTGGTTGAGTTCTACCTAGAATGGAATCTTTGATTTAGAAATTCAAAACATTCGGCATTATTTCTGAAATAATGCCAATAACAGCAATTCCTACTCCGCAGAAATGATGCCACTTACACAACAATTCATACACCAGACCGAAGGCTCAAATAGTGAAGATATAACTCCCTCTGTCCCAAAAAACAAAATAGTTCATATTAAGTTTTGAGGACATAAATATAATATGGTTTATCATGTTTCTTAACTTACATGTTCAATAACGTTAAAATCTCCATTATGGTGGAAATTAACCAATGAATTACTCATTGTGTATTCAAATATTATCATTTGGTACGTAAAAAAAAAAAAGAGAAAAAGTAGAGTATATTTTTCTACATCAACTCGATATGGAGTTAAAAACTATTGTATATATGTTATCTAACAAACAAACTGGAATGAATGTATATATGATTATTCCAGACAAGAATTATGTTTCTTTTTGTTTTCTTTTTTCTTTCTTTAACTTGCTCGAATTGCAGGTCATTTAATTTCATCATAGTGTTGGCATGGCCAAACAACCCCAAGAAAAAAGAAAAAAAATAAAAAGAAGAAGAAGAAAGGTTTGGGTGTAGAAATTTTAGTAATCGATTTGGAACATCTATCGCCTACTACAAATCCGGCCATCACTATTTCGCATAATTTTCATCATATTTATTTTCATAGCTAGGAGACTTCATAAAACAGCACTTGAATATTGTTAAAAAGCTACATATTCACCATGTTTTAATATAACGTTGTTGTCCGTCTATCTAGAATGAGTTATCTATCAAGTGCCTGCTTTTTCCTATATTAATGCAGGTTTGATTGAAGTCTTACCACTTATCCATCCACAGATCCAACACTATTATCGACTCCCAACCGCAGATTGCATGTTGTGAGGACTACTAACGGAAAACCATGGAGAAAGATTTATGTAATAAGGAGAACTACTACAAACTAAGACCTTACAAAAAATCCAATTACGAAATATTTAAGTTGTGTTACCAAGTCAAGGTTAAACGGCTTTTCTTCTCCACTTCTCTTAAGCCAATCAATACTCTTCTGTGTCGCATCATCATCATCTCCAAATTCCATAATGTACACAAAGTGATGCCATTTTGTTACACGTAGAACGTTCCCGGATGAATGATGATTCCTGCTTTGAAAATCTCCCCCGTCATCATCAGAATTTGTAAAATTCAATTCTCCTACAATAATAACAAACAGGTAGGCAAATCAGCTTTTAACATCAGAGGAATTTCGGAGCAGAAAAATAGCGATGAGTATGATAACTTTAGAGCCTGAAAAATCTAACCCGAAAAATCATCATCAGCAGCAACGAACCAGAACTTGGAAGTAAACCGGGAAATCAACATGCTTTTAACGTTTGCATTTATAAGTCCTTCGGAATTGATGAAGAAAGTGAATTTTGTCAAGACCGACGTCCCGAATAGCTTCCATGGATATTTACTAGAGCAGATGTCATGAATTGAATCGACTGCATTGAAAGACATTATTGATGGTTAAATTATAACGGCTGGATCAAGCTAATATATCTGTTGTAGGGCTTCACTGAAGAAGTATATTTTTCGGCTCTAAACCAAAAGCAAATATATCTGTTGAAAGAAATTCTTATAGGGTGCGACAATGCTCGAAAGTCTCGGTAATAATGTGACTGAATATAGATTGATGTATGGTGGTTGTGTAAAAATTCATTGATCAATGAATTCCAGAACTTTCTTTTATCAAATTCAAAATATCTTTATTGTCACGTCACAAAGTTAGTTGATTTTATCAATTTATTAATCACTTAAGTTTTTCTCTCTCCTATCTGTTTCAACCCAATCTCTCAATTTTTTTTATTTTCTATATTTGCAGGGTGTCCACCATCGACAACAGTGACTAATCCCCCTCTGAATTGTAGGCACCTCGATTAGTAGGACAGCTGACCAAAATATTTAAAGTTGCTCCATGCCCATGGCGAGATTCGAACCCTCAACCTCAAAATCTCAGCCATTATCATATAAATCTATCAAAACTCCTGGGCCATGACTCATGTCTCTCGTCGGCCCCATTTGCCAAAAACTGGCCGAACAATATCTATACTGTCCTATCTATTTCAATCCTATCTTTATTGCCAAACAAGGATTGTTTTTTGAGTATTTGCGAAGGTCCTCATGAAGGATGAATTTTAGAAATGAAATATTATTCTTTGACCATGTATAAAATTAGTTTTACCCCCAAAGTTGGTTTCTTCTAAGGTCGAAGTAAAAAATATTGTGCATATCACATCATATTATGTAGTTTTTGGTAGCTAAAGATCGATTTACTCGGTTTAGGAATTTTTATTCATTTTTCGGTATAGCTTAATTTCCAAGTTCATGTGTATATAGTACGCCCTCCAACTATTTGTTAGCTCAACAAAACTGACTATTTTCCCGACGAAAAGAGATTATATAGTTTTCTTCAAATACAATAAATTTTCTCATAATCATTTTCGTCAAATGTTGTAATTCGAGGTTACGAAGAATCCTAGTTAGTCTAGCCAGTTAGCTAACTAAGGCTCGAATATCATTCCTTATGTTTATTAATTTACATGCTCAAAACCTAGTTAAAAGCCCCATCAGCGTGAAAATTAATAGATGAATTCGTTGCTTACCCGAATGTTATCATTTGGTAGTGAACAAAGTGACAAAAAATAGTGCACAGTTGTTTAGATCATTTGATCTAACTAACAGGAATCAATGTGTAGGAGTATGATTATTTCAGACAAGAATGCTGCTTCTTTCACTCTATTGTTTTTCTTCTTTCTTTTAACTACTTGATTTGTGCAAGTGATTGAATGTGATGTTTTTTTCTTTTTTTATTTGAGGAAAGAATGTCATGTTAATTAGTGTTGATATGGCCAAACTACCCAAAAAAGATTGGGAGAAGAAACTTAATCATCAATTAGCACATCACTCTCGCTACTACAAATCTGGCCATCACTACTACTTGTAATGTTTTCATCAGCGCACAAAGCTAATTTTTTGTCATCCCTAAACTAGGAAAATGAGGATACAATGGTACTAGAATATTGAGAAGAGATGACAATGTGTTTGGTTCAATGGAATTAGCTCAGAGGAGCAAAGGCAAAAATAATGAAAACCTGAGTAAAACTCATGCTCAAGAAATAAGTTGTTTTACCAAGTCAAGATTGAAATACTAGTGTTTTTTTCTCCACTTCCCTTAAACCAATCAATATTGACCTTCTTCTCAGCTTCAGCATCAAAATCTCCTCGATCTAGCGATGCCACTTTTCTGTAACAAGAAAGATCCTGAGCATCAACTTGATTACTCTTGCCTTGAAACACTTCCATTTCTTCTGCGATAACAATAGACCGAAAGAAGAAAACATTATATTTTTTGTTTCGTGTAAGTGGAATCGAAGAAACGGATAACATCTTTCATGTCAAATTTAACCAAAAGATTTTGCGAGCTGTGAAACAAAAAAAAGGGAGTTGAAGCACAATATATGGAACGCAAAAATGAAACAAAAACTATAATTCCTGAATGGGGTGAGGGTAATTGTGTGGAAACTTATTGATGAGATATTAATTCATGTACTACTCTTAGTGCTAAATTCAAACAGATCTTCATTGCTTTGTCAGAATTCTAGTTCACACTATAAATTTATTTGATCAATTAATTTCCATAGGGTCCTATCAATTTATTAAACATATATCTTTATTGCTCAAGGGATTATCTTTTTGTTTAAGCTCTGGAGGATCAATATTTGAGATGAAATCCATATCCTTTGGCGATTCATAGAATTAGTTCTCTAGTTGGTTTGTGTTTGAGATTGTATATCTAATAATGCGATCGTGTATATCCAGTGTATTGACGCAACTATGCGATTAACAAAATTCAGTCTATAAGTGAATCGTCTCAACCATGGAGAATTGTTTAATCCAGTGTCAAAATCCAAATATACATCAATTAAATCCTGTCTCGTTTTTTTTAAAATAACCACAATAAAGTTTGTAACTAGTTTTCATGTTTCTATTGATTGAGAATTGCCATGTGAAAGAATTATATTTCTGTCTGTATTACCAGTTGTACATTGAGATATATATATATATATATATATATACAAGGATACATAAAATCCTAGCCGACTATTCCAGAAACCCTAATTTGGTTTCCTTAATTACATACTCTATCATCCCCCCGCAATCGTAGCAGGATGAGGAATCATGCCTAGATTGGTTCTAAACAAATAGAATTTATCTTTAGCTAATGACTTTGTGAAGACATCTGCAAGTTGAGATTGTGTGGGGATATGACGAACAATAAAAAGACCAGCAGAAACTCTTTCACGAATAAAATGGATATCCAGCTCAATATGCTTTGTTCTAGCATGATTAACAGGATTGGCGGCAAGGTAGGTAGCAGAAATATTATCACACAGAATAACTGAAGATCTGCAAAGCTTGATGTAAAGCTCAGATAAAAGATTTTCTAACCAAACAACTTCAAATAAGGTAGTGGCAACGGCACGGTACTCAGATTCAGCAGAAGATCGTGAAACAGTAGATTGCTTTTTGGAAGACCACGAGACCAATGATGAACCTAAAAAGACACAAAACCCAGTGGTAGAACGTCTAGTTGTCAGACACCTAGCCCAATCAGCATCCGAATAAGCCACAAGACGATCAAGAGAACCAGCACGGATATGAATACCATAGTGAAGGGTACCCTTAATATACCGTAGAATGCGCTTAACAGCCAGATAATGTTGCGCCCCAGGATCATGCATATGCTGACAGACAAGATTGATAGCATACTGAATGTCCAGTCTAGTGAAAGTAAGGTATTGGAGGGCACCCACCAAACTGCAGTAGAGAGTCGGATGATGAAATGGTGGTGACTCATCAACAGAGAACTGAAAAGCCGGAGCAAGTGGAGTGGCAACAGGATTAGCTTCAGTGAGATGACTACGAGAAAGTAATTCCTCAGCACACTTGCGTTGATGCAAAAACCAACCATTTGACTGGGGAGAAACCGAGACACCCAAGAAGTAACTGATAGGGCCAAGATCAGACATGGCAAAAGCACCCTTCAGAGACTGAATAGGTCTTGTGAGAAGACGATCACTAGAGGCTGTTAAGAGAATATCATCAACATAGAGGAGGAAAACAGCCATGTCAGTGCCAGCAATGTAAACAAAAATAGAAGAATCCAAGCGACTGCCTTTAAAACCCCGTGTAAGCAGGAAAGTAGTAAAGCGGTGAAACCAAGCTCGGGGGGCCTGCTTTAAGCCATAAAGAGCTTTGTTCAGGCGACAGACATAGTAAGGATGGTCTGGATGAACAAAGCCAGTAGGTTGTTTCATATAGACAACTTCATTTAAATGGCCATGCAAAAATGCATTTTTAACATCCAACTGATGGACGGGCCACATACGAGATGCAGCAATACTTAAGACAGTCTGAATTGTCACTGGTTTAACTACAGGACTGAACGTTTGATCATAATCAAGCCCAGGTTTTTGATTAAAACCCTGAGCAACTAAACGTGCTTTACAACGATCAAGGGATCCATCGGATTTGAGTTTCACACGAAAGATCCATTTAGAATCAATGACATTCGCAGACATAGGTAGTGGGACTAAATCCCATGTATGATTAGACAGAAGGGCATTGTATTCATCACTCATAGCGGCACGCCATTCAGGGTGTTTATTTGCTTCAATGAAAGATTATGGTTCTATGGGAAGAGAAGGAGAATTGGTAGTAGCAGTGAGGGAGAAAATTTGTTTGGATTTTCGTGTGCCATCCCGAGTGCGGGTGACCATGGGATGCGAGGGAGCAACCGAGGATATAGGATCTGAAGGTTGAGTATGAACGGAAACTGGGGTGGCAGAGATAGAATCTGAAACAGGAGTTTTGCGGGGAGAGGAGATAATCGGTGTTGGAAGGCATTTGGGAATGAGAAAGGAAGGTTATTTAAATGAGGGGGCCGAGGTAGGAAGGGGGTGAATCGAAGAGGATAGTGTAGGAAAAGGAAACGAAGTTTCATAAAAAATGACATGACGAGAAATGTAGACTTTTCGAGAGACTGGATCAAAGCAACAATAACCCTTATATGATTCTGGATAACCAAGAAACACACAAGGAACTGAACGAGGACTAAGTTTATGAGATGTTAAATGAGAGAGATTTGGAAAACAAGAGCAACCAAAAACCCTAAGTACCCCATAATTAGGTGGATGGCCAAAGAGAAGTGAGAAAGGGACAGCTCCGAACTTAGATGTAGTAGGCAGCCGGTTTAAGAGATAAACACAAGTGGTTAATGCATCGACCCAGAATTCATTTGGTAATTGGGCTTGATGAAGAAGAGTACATGTTAAGAATAGTTTTATTCATCCATTCAGCCTTCCCATTTTGTTGGGGAGTGTATGGACAAGAGACTCGGACATATTCAGCAGCACCATCTGATTGAAGTATTTTAATAGAAGAATGGAATTGAGTTTAAACAAGATTATAAAATTCAACAAACTTTTGAAGAACTTCATATTTATTTTTGAGAGGATACACCCGTAGGTAATGAGTAAAATCATCTAGAAATAGAACAAAATATTTAAAACCACTAAAGGAAAGACAAGGAGAAGTCCAGACATCAGTATGAATAATATCAAAAGGACTGTAAGTGATAGAACGACGAAGACTGAAAAGGAAACTTATAATGCTTTCCAATTTGGCATGCTTGACACAAGTAAAGCTTATTGGACGAAACCACCGAACCAGGAAGACTCTGACGGGACACTAAACTGGACAAGACAGAAGAGTGCGGGTGACCAAGACGTTGATGCCACACTTGGGAAGACACTGGAGCAGCAAACGTCGGACATGACAAGGCAGATGGTGCAAGAGACTGATGTAGCAAGGTAGAAGGAAAGGTATGAAGGGAAACCAGTGCTATTGCAACGTAGACGAGGGATCCTCGTCCAGAGATCCTTCATAGAAAAACCAAAAGGATCAAATTCAACGGAACATTGATTTTCAGTAGCAAATTGACAAACAGAGATAAGATTTTTGGCAATAGAAAGAACACAATAAACACGAGGAAATTTAAACGAATAACAAGAAATAGTGCCAACAGATTTAATGGGCAACATATTACCATTACCAATCACAACCCTAGTGGATCCATTATAAGGCTTTGTATTGGAGATAATACTTTGAGTGGGAGTCATAGTGTTACCACAAGCGGTATCCATATACCAGGATGAATTCACGGATGGAGGAGCAGGAGGTCGAGTATATTGATCAACAAAGTAAGCGGGTTGCCGAAATTGGAAGCATTCTCTAGCAGAGTGATTCGCTTGATTGCATAATTGACAGCGAATAGCAAGTTGTCCTGGCTAAAAAGAGGGAGCTGGACCAAGAAGTGAAGGAGCACGGTTTCTGGGAGAAAACATAGGAGGCTGAAAACTAGAGTAAGCAGGATAAAAAGAATTATACTGACCAGATTGATTTCGGCCACGTCCGCAACTGCCGCGCCCCTGAAAGTTCTGGAACCTGCCTCGACCGTGACCACGATTGTTGGTGAAAGGTTGAGAGGTCGCTGGAGTAGGAAGGGATTCAGTTGAAGAAGCCGCAACTAACGCCGGAGTTGCCACGGGAGGAGTAGCAGGGATAGTATTCTGTAGTTGCACTTCGTGCAAGAAAAGCATGAAGCGAGCTTCAACAAAATTAGGCAGTGGGACTTTGTGACTAATCGTGGTCGAGATAGATTGATATTTAGAAGGAAGGCCAGCAAGAATTTGAAGGACCAAGTGGGTTTTGGAGACTGGAGAACCAACCGCCGTTAAAGAATCGGCAAAAGATTTAAGTTTGGTGACATAATCATTAATGAATAAGTCACCCTTCTTGAAACTATGGAATTGGAGTTTCAATTGAAAAAGACGAGAGCCAAGTTGATCATGAAAAAGCTGTTGAATAGTTAACCATGCTTCTCGAGTAGTAAGATTAGAATTTGGTTTAACTATAGCTTGCAAGATTTCGGTTGAGACTGTGGCTTGAATCCAGGAGAGAACGATGAAATCAATTTGAGTCCATGTTTGAAAAGCAGGATTTAGGATGGAAGAACCATCTAAAGCGGGAAGAGTCGACGGCGGACAAAGAGAGGTACCATCAATGTGAGCCATGACACCATGGCCGCGAAAAACCGGAAGAAAGAGTTTCTTCCAGAGCATATAGTTGGTGAAATCTAGGATGGGAGTAACATAATTTTTTATGTTGGAGAGGCCAATGGCCAGATGAGACAGCGGAGAAGAGGTGTTGGAAGGAAGGGGGTTGGGCGGCTGGTTTTGGGTGGCGGTGGTTGTAGATTCATCTGACCGAGCCATGAAGGCAGATGATGATGATGAAGAAGAAGGGTTGTGTGTGTGCCGGCTGCAAAAGGAAAAAAAAATTCTGACAAAAAGATTACCTTTTTGCGTTTTTAGCAAAAGAAGATGAGTTTTCATACCAATGCTGGAAGCTTACACGCACACACACGCACGTAAACAGAAGGGAGGAAAAAAGAGATTAAAAGGTGATGACTTTGAATTTGGTCGGAGGAATCAAACCGGGGAAAACCAAAAACCTTAAAAATCTGGTTCTGTTATTACACTTCTTTCAGTACAAAGAATCTTATCGGTTTCCTCTCTGGGGAAATAACAGGAAGGAAGAAGAAAAGGGTGGTATCTGGGATTTGGAGCTTCGGCGGTTCGGCGGAGAAGAAAAGAAAACTGACGGCAAAAGAAAGAAAGAAAAGAAAACTAACAGCGGAAACCCTAAAAAATTGAGAGGCTAGGAAAGAAGGATGATACCATGAAAGAATTATATTTCTGTCTGTATTACCGGTTGTACATTGAGATATATATATATATATATATATACAAGGATACATAAAACCCTAGCCGACTATTCCGGAAACCCTAATTTGGTTTCCTTAATTACATACTCTATCACCATGGACTAAGGTGTTTTCTCCTATTGCCTTTCCAATCGTCAATTAGTCGTCACTATGTGAACAAACAACAAAAGCACCACATCTGCTTTAAACACAGGAAAGTAATAGAAAGGTCTCCAACATCTGCTGCCTCTCGCTCACCATAAAGAATGAATCACCTGTGAAACACGAAGTTGCAGGGATTTTTCAACTAAGACGAGATGCAAATGTATTAAGTTGTCTTACTAAGTCCAGATCCAATTGACTGTTATCCTCCGCATGTCTTATGCTTATCAGTAAACCCTTCTCATGCGCCATAACTTTAAAATCTTCAAAAACTCCTCCAGCCAGTGACACCGCTTTTCGAGAATGAGAAAATTCCTCAATATGTATATGATGAATCTTGGTTTGAGAGAATCTTTCACCTCTTCTGCGATAACAGTAAACACAAAGGGTGTATAGAGAACATATTAGATTTCTTGTTTCACATAAGAGGAATTCTTGGTTTTGAAAGTGGAATTTAAACCTCGTACAATGCAGCTCTTTTGACAAAATTATCAGCAATAACATAAGATCCAAAAAGTTTGAAATTTTCAAAGAAGAATGGAAACCTTATCTAATGTATATCAACAAGTTTAAGGGCTTCTGTAATACGTGATCAAGATCCACGTCTCGGCCGGAATAACTTCCGGTCAAAATCATTAGATCCTTCATCATAGATGGCTGAATTTTCAAGTAGATCAACAAAGTTAAGGACCACATCTCAAATTTCGAAGCAGGAATTGTGAAAAAGCAGGCTTAGTTTTGCTAGCAAACTCGTCTAAAGCAATGTATATTTTAGGTCAAAACCAAAAGATTTTATGTACTTTGATACTGGGAAAGTGGAGCTGAAGGAACATATAGAGTGCAACTCTAGGTGGTTGTGAGGAAATTTATTGATCAAAATTAATTATGTAGTACTATTAAATCCAACCCTATCTCATAACGTAGTACTATATACGGAGTATATTTATTGATCAATTAATTTTTGCACTTCCGATCATTTCAAATTTATCTTTATTTATTGAAAGGAGACAATGCTCTCTCCTATTTCTCTCTAAACTCTCTCTACTATTTCTCCTATGGCCGGCGATCCGCCGGCCACCACCTACTAAACATCCCCAAAAGCCCACCTTTGCTTAGGTTCTAGAATCCGGGGCAAATCCAAAAACCATACATGAACACTCATCCAAAAACCATTGGACTGTGATACACTCCGAACTAACGACTATCAAAGGTGAGCCAACTTTTCTTCTATAAAAAGAAGAAGATGCTCAATTGGTTGTTCCTTTCCGCCGCTTTTGTAGGAAAGTTTACTAAAGGCCGGCCAAAAATGGATTTTTTGAGAAGAGAATTCCAAACTATCGGTTTCAAAGGAAGTTTTTCCCTTGGATCGATTGATTACCTACACATCCTCATCTGCTTTGATCTAGAGGAAGATTTTCATCGTTGCTGGCTAAAATTTTGTGGACTTTTGAGAAACATCGAATGCGGGTCCAAAAGTGGACCATGGATTTCAATCCAGCGCACGAAAGCTCAATTGTCCCTATTTGGATCTCCCTAGAAGGTCTCCCAATTCATCGTTTCAACAAAAGAATATTTGTGGTAACTTGATAGCATTATCAGAACTCCCCTTCAAATCGACGTTCTCACTCTTAACATGTCGCGACCATTGATAGCGCGAGTTCGTGTGGAACTGGATCTTCTCAAGGAGCATCCAATTCGCATCAGACTGGGAGTTGAAGGGTCGACTTATTTTCCATCAATTTTTTATGAGAACATGACTCAATATTGTGTCAATTCCAAAAAAAAAAAATTGGACATGATGTTCATTCTTGCAGACACAACACAATTCCATCATCATCGCAAAAGATGGATTTGCTTCATCCGAAACAACATTTACAGCAGTCATCCCAAGTCAAGCAAAAGAATCCGCAGGAAACAAACAAGCCATCGCAAGTCACACATATAGTTGAGCCGGCTGAGGCTCCACAAGTTGAAACTCCTCAAGTAGAGGTTGTCGCGCATACACAAAATGGGCCGGTGGAATCAGCGATCCAACCAGAAGATCCCCCTGTTATGCTGTTGTTGGAAGATCAACAAGCCATCACCGCCGAACAACAAACTATCGATGCTACTCCGGGTCAGCGAGCCGCCAATGCTGTTGCTTCTCCACCGATTATGGGGGAAAATAATCTTCTCCTCAATTCTTAGCATCAATCTCAGAGCAAATCAATGAAGTAAACGTGCAACAAGTCTCAGCAGCCCAGAAAGACGCTAAAGATTCGCTTGGGGAGCATCAGGCCATTGAAACTTTCGTTGCGACCCAACTCAACACCGCGACTGAAACCCTTGGTGCCGCCGCTACTGCTGCTCAACCGGTTTCTGTTGTTTCTGATAATCCGATGATTGAAACTGAGAAATCCATATCACTTCAGTCTTCTTCGATGGCTGCTAAATTGTCAATGGTGGAACTACGACGGGAATCTCAATTACAGCCGGCGAACTCCCCAAGATTTCACACTTGAAACAGAATCCCGTTGATGCGTAGTCAACGCCCAAGATGTGCGGAATCTTTAGCCAAACTGATTCAATTTCAAATTTTCAAGGTCATCCAGGTTTGAATCCGAAACTGACGCAATCATTTCCTTCTTCAAGTGCGAAACAAGGTCAGCAGCCTCACGTGACCTTAGCGCCAATTGTGCATCCGACTCTTCAAAATTCAAGTGAGAAAAACTCAACATCAAATAACTCTTCTCCCTCAAATTCTGCATCCGACTCTTCTCCCTCAAATAAGGAAGGAATCTCTTCCTCAAATAACTCTTTTAACAGCCCCATGAAAAAGTTAAATCCAGAAGTTCCAGAATTTACCATCTCTCCTCAGCCTCTACAGGTTTTACTACCAATTCCGGCTCTAAAATCGTACTTGTCCAAGGATGATACGAAAATAGGGAAGAACACTGAGACTTTCAACCTAAGTTATTCGATTGAAGAAATAAATTCCGAAGGTGGACTAAATCATGCTTATGAAGATGAAGACTTCGATATGGAATATGCAATGGAACAAGAGTCATTTTACAGTAAAATTTCTGCTCCAATGTATCACAATCGATCGAAAAAAGCTAAGGCTAAAAAGAAAGTTCAAGTTTGTCGCTCTGCTATAAAATCAAACTTGTATTTGATATAGGTTTTAGTATATTCCTTGACCTATTTTTTCTTTATTATTAATAAAATTGTGTTTTTTTAAAAAAAAAAAAAAAAGAAAGGAGACAAATCTTTTTGTTTAGCTTTGAAGAAAGGTGTATGTATATTTTGCTTCTAAGGTTGTGTGGTATTTCTCCGAAATCCAACTTGCACTGTGGGGCTTTTTTTGTAAGTTAATTACTCAAAGACCAACCCAATGTCCCGATTACCGAATTCCAATCGAGTAACCAAAGAGAGAGGGACTACAATGTGGACTGCGCCACTCACCACTAATAGGAGAAGGTATAGGGGTAGGGGGAGAGGGTAAACCTACAGGACCAGGCCGTGGACAACCAAACAGGGGAGGAGAGTAACTACTAAGATTGTACATAGGGCGATCTCTGTGATGCGCACCCATCCTAACACTGTCCTGCACATCATCCTCATTAAACTCATTCTCCTCATCCTCATTCTCCTTTTCCAGGTCATCCTCAGAATACTCGGGTACATTAATCGGCTGACTAGACCGAGGCTCAAACGGTACACCACCCATATTTACTTGAGTCATTTTCATTCGCTTCTTTAACTCGTTTTCTTCTCTTTTCTTCCGACGACTCATTGTCAGATAACGCGCACGAACCTTACGCTTACTAGTATCTTCAGTATCACTAGTATCACTATCATCATCATCATCACAATAAACCTATAAACAAAATTTTAGTCATTATCATCATATTTTCCTAGTCTAAACCTTTTAACCATACAAATTTAATAAATCCTAAATAGTTTAATAATTAAGTACACTTTAATTAAACGTACAATTTAGATAACAAAGTAATTATATACATAATATAAAACTAATTATCATACAATAATTAACTACACTAATTTACTATTCATTAAAGTAATTATATACATAATATAAAACTAATTATCATACAATAATTAACAAAACTAATTAATCTATTGTACTTAATTATCAACTAAACTAATTTAAAAACTATTTAGTAAATTACTATTAATTAAATTAATCCAATAAACTAAACTAATTTACAAAATATTTGAATTAATTTATTTAATCATAAACTATATTACTAATAAACTACATTAACTTCTAATATTAATTAAATTAATCCAATAAACTAAATTAATTTACAAACTATTTAAATCAATTAATTTACACAATTTAACTAAATAACAAACTAATAATCAATTAATCTAAATCACAAATTTTTTTAAACTAATTACATTAAATATATTAAATTATAAACTAATTACATTAAATTATAAACTAAACTAGTAAATTAAATATATTACACATAACAATAAAAATCTAGTAATGAATTAAAACTTAAAAAAAATCAAAATTAAATTAAATTAAAAAAATATTTTGACCGGTCCGGTTCTCCGACCGGACCGATCTTGGACCGGGCTCATCCCGGGCCAAGCTACAAAAAAAGGGCCGCCGGAACGGCCAAGGAAGCCGTCCGGTGGCGCTGACTGGACTCGCAAGCAACGCGTCCCGGTTCAAACCAAAACGAATGACCTTGCGCATCCGGTTCAAACCAGAACGAATGACCGGACGCGCAAGCAACGTGTCCCGGTTCAAACATGAACGAGCGCTCGTTCTGGTTTGAACCGGGACGGGTTTCTTGCGCGTCCGGTCAGCGCCGCCGGACGGCTCGTTCTGGTTTAAACCGGGACGCGTTGTTTGCACGTCCGGTCAACGCCGCCGGACGGCTTCCTTGGCCGTTCCGGCGGGCAGATTTTTTTTTTTTTTTCATTTTCTTCTAAAAAAACACATTTTTGAACCAAAAAAACTTACCTTTGATGAGATCGGCTATTTCCTGCTTGGTTTCTTCTGTGTTGCCATCAATTTTGGCTCCAAATAGGCTTCAATTTGGGGTTTGAAAAATTAAGGGGTTAAGTTTTCTCTCTTTTTTCTTTAAGTGTAAGTTTGAAATGAGAGGGACAAAATCAAAATAAACAAAAAATAGTGACTTCAAATACTAAAGGTGGTGACTTCGAAAATTAACACCCAATGCAAATGCAGTTTCCTCCTCCAATTCTTTTTCCTCCGTCGGCTCCTAAACAATTTAGGATTGTTATCTAATTTTAGTCCTCCTCTTCCTGAACTACATCCGCCAGATACATCAGAGCCTTTGGAGTCGCAAAGAGATAAATAAAGGAGACCTCAAAAGCGGATAGAAAATTTCCTCTCGTCAATAATTGATTACTAATAAGAAGATGATTCCGTAAGAATCCTATTATAATTCAAGAGTTGAGATCGGCAGCGACGAATATGGGAGATGAGGCAGATGAAGTTGGAGGCAGGAGCAAACTGGTGGTGTGGCCGGCTGTCGAAGACATCGGCGAAGTCAAAGACATCCAAATTGGCCTATAGAGGATGAGACCTCAACTTTCCCTTCCTCTGCCGACCTTTATAATCAAGCCCTTGAAGGTTAATTGAAGAGGGTTAGAATTTCCAAGTTGTGACAAAGATGATCGAGGTTGTTCTTATCCTTCATCACAGGAAAGTATCACCATGAAGGGAAAAACTACGTCAAGGTACTTTCTTTACCGTTTAATTTGCTAAAAAATGATTGAAACCTTGTGGGTATGTTTTTTATTGTGACATTTAAAACGCCATAATAAAACATATGTCGAGAGACCACGAAATTCTATCAATTGATGACATAAAAATTTCATGAATGTATCAATAGTAGAAATTCCGTTTAATTCCGTTTTAAATGATATCATGTTGATGGTCTGTATGGTCTTTCAAAACGAAAAAATATGTGTTCTGATATATGTTGAGGGAGTAGGATCTATACATTCTATCGTTATCGGACATGCTTGGCTTCCTTATTTCTGTAGAGGCATTTCTGTAGAATGGTCGCCCAAACTTTTATTTTTTATTTTTTATTATTATTATTATTATTATTATTATTATTATTATTATTATTAGTATTATTATTATTATCATTATTATTATTGTTGTTATTATTGCATTGTTAGAAGCAATAAACTTAAGAATGAATTGAGGATGTTACCCCATTACAGAAATTGGTGTTTCGTTTGCTCCACACGAGCATATATAATGGAGTTGTACATTTTATGTATAAATTTAGTGTGTTATAATGTGTGTTTTTTTTTAAGCACATCGAGTTAAAATGTTGATATCTTATTTCTTTGGTTTCAGTACATCTTTTTTTTTTTGTTTTTTCTTTTCTTATCTGAATATTATCAGTGTGAAAGACGGTGATATTGATGTTGAAGTTGGAGTTAAAACCATCACTAGGTAAAAAGAACATGGTTCAGGAAACTCGAAGGTGAATGAGCATGGGTGAATTTTTTGTAAAACTTGAAAAGGCTCCTACTCAAGTTAAGTTTGGGAGGAATGCGAGGGTCCGTGAGTTTAGTGTACCCAAATTTTAGTTGGTAGAAAAAAGTGTTCTTAGGGTTGGAGGGGTAGAAATTTATATGTTTCTCGCATTTGTGATATGCGAAGAAACTGATATTCGCATTTACCATATGCGAACAACCTTACGTAATTAATTAGTTAAACTTAAACAAATAATATCAACAAATGAGATAACTCAAAAGGGGCCATCACCCAAATTTCGCATATGCCAAACGCGAAGATAATAATCTGAATAAATTAAAGCGGACACAGAAAGGAAAGAGAAAAGTGTGGGCCATCATAAGACTTTCGCATTCAACGAATACGAACAAAAAAATATAGGTAAAAAAAAACGAAATTATCTTTTTATCCTATTAAATTCTGACTGGTCAATAGCTTATCGACACGTGGCAATTGCTGAAAATTTGGATAAATGTTCGCATTTGGCGAATGCGATGTGATGGCTAGACTCATAATTTAAAACTCATCACCCCCAATTCGGCAGAACTAAAAACCATCAATTCTTCTTGCATTCAGTTGAAATTTTCATTCCGGTGCAGGAAATAGGCATTTTTCATATTGAAGGTTGGATGGTTGGACTGAACGGGAGCAAGACAGAGGCACCATTTAGGTAAGTTTTTTTTCTCTACGAAATTTGTAAAATTTATACATTCTATTGTCATTTGGGGCTATTAATGTTGTTGTAGTGTACGAAATTACTAAATTTAATAATTTCGGTAGTTATTGAGAATTGGTTTTAGAAAATTTGCTTCAATAAATATATATTTGATGTAGAATGAAGAATAAAAATTATTTTTATAATGTGAATTGTTGAATTTTGTTGAATATTATGAGTTATTTTATTAATTTAGAGAATAACCCGGTTGATCTCGAATTTTGGTCTTTATACCTCAATTTTGTGAATTTTATATTCTGACCCAATTATTTGTAATGTTATTGATTTGACCCTGTTTTATTTATTTTTATTCTGTTAATTTTATATTTTATCACTAGCGTTGAGTGCTAAATTCATGTATTGTTGAATAAATTTAGTTTTAATATATCAAATACATTGTGTAAATCTAAATTTATTAGTTTGATCAAAAATTGTTATTCTTTTAATTGAAAACCTTGTTATATAGATGTCAAATTATATTTTTTGAATTATTAAATTATGTTAGAGATTTTTCACTAAAGATAGGACTTATTGTTAGTTTTTGGAGTAAATTACTGCTAGTGAGGTAGAATATTGTTATAACAAGCATGAATTGATGTATTTGTATGTTTAATTGAATAAAAATTAAATGTGCAGGCCCTTAATATGTCTTTTCCGGGTCCCTTCGATCCGAATATATTCTGGTCTAGTGATCGATCATGTTGGGGATATGGGGAGAAGTTATTTACGCCCGATGCAACAGTTCGTATCGATCGAGTGTGGAGTTTCTCTGAACTTGATAATTATGTACACAGGCTGTTAGAATCTGAGAACCAACAAATACTTCCTCTGCAATATGTTTTAGTCCGCACGCATGAGTACAGAGAAGGGGCAAGCGCCCATAAGAGACGACGAGTCAATGTCATGGATTTACCGAGGTGCCCATTTGCGTCCAGCATTGTACGTAGAGGTTGCAGATGAACCTGTTCAAGATGTTGGGGAAGGAACTAGTGGTGGTCAGTATGATGGTGCAGGGAGTAGTGGTGTTGGTGGTACCAATGAAGATGACGATGACACAGAAGATGACGTACATGGGAACAGTGACGAGGAGTATGTGCCGTCCGATGAGTCTGATGATGATTACAGTGACCATTGACGCATCTTCAGTAGTAATTTCTATTTTTGACGACATCAGTGACATGGACAAGTCTGAACTGGATGAGGATTCTGATGGGATCACAATGTGGGACGGTAATTGGCAGACGGTTAGACATGGTGTACATTTTGCTAACAAGAAAGAGGTACAAACAGCTGTGGTTTCTTTGAGACTAGTTACGAGGGTGGTCATCATAGTCAGCATCTAGGTGGTGACGATATCCATCATGATCAGGAAGATGATCAAGATCATGAGGATATTGGGGATCAGGAGCATGATGATGATGCTGATGATGCTGAGCATTCCTCTCATGATCATTATGAGGGCACTGATCAGGGACGGGCCCCGGTGATGGTACCATGCCTTTACACCGATTGCTTTGGGTAAGGGACAATGGAACATAAAAAGAAGAAAAGTGCTTTGATGATTCTCGGGAGAAAAAGCGCAAGATGTAGAACTATTAGATTGAATTGTACTTTTATTTTATGCTATTTTATGACTTTTGTTATTAGTTTTAAGCAATACCTTTCATTTATTTTCATTAACAATTTATTTCGGTTTTATTTAATCTTTAAGATAAAAAAATTAAAAGGCAAACATTAAAGAAGAAAATTTCTCAAAAGACAATATTATGTACAATTTTTTAACTCTTACTTTTATACAATACTATCTTTTTCGTCGTACCAAATTCAAGTTTCCAGGTCGCCAAAAGATCATTGTTAGAAGGAAGTGTGGTTTTATCAAGTTTAGCAGGACTGATTATGTCAGATTCTAAAAGTTTTAGTTTTTTTCCTTACTTTAAATGAATTGATTCTAAGTTTTATTATGTAAAAAATATTATTATCCTAAAATTAATAAACTTGATTTTTTGACATTATATTTAATGATGGTAAGTTTTTAAATTGAAATCAAATAAAAGTCAATTTTTTTAAAAGCAAACTTGGTTACAGAACGCAAGATTATATTCTAATTTTTCACCGAAATTTTAATTTACTTCTTATTCAAATTTTATTATAAATGCATTATACGATTTCTGTTCACCAAATATAATTTTTAGGATTGCAATTCTATTTAGAACTAACATAAATTTACTTAAATCAAATGAATACTTTAAATTTAAAAAATTTAATTTTCAATTAAAATAGTATTTTTTTGTTGAAATATTACAACATTTTATCAACCAAAATATTTAATTTACAACATTTCATTTTATACCAATTTAAAGTTAGGAAACAATTTTTAAATACAGATTTAATACATTCGCATATGCCATATACGAAAAATTAATTTTCGCATACCCCAAATGCGAAGGATTAAATTAATTATAATTATCCAGTTTTAATCCAACGTCTTTAATGCATTGTAATTAATCCACTACATTTTCGCATTTTCTGAACGCGGAAGTTGGTTTTTTCGCATTTGCCAAATGCGAGAAACATATTTCTTTCTACCTCCGAAAACCTAGCCATAGTCCTGCTTACACTACCAATTTGGGAGCATATTTGTGTCATTTTTCGAGGAATGCGACTAAAGAGAATGAAAAGAAAAAAAATAGTGCAAAATGAAGTATATGTCTCTTTCATTATTGTGTAATATATATCCCTTTCATTTTATTCTTTATTCTTTTTTGGCCATGTCTGCTGGCTAACTTCTTTTTTTGCGGTGATTTTTTATAACATAAAATCAATTTTTTATTATTCACCAAATAATATTAAGCTCAGAGCATATCAAGATATTAGTATTATTTTTCGAATGATTTTTTTTTTTTTTAAACTTTCTCTCTGCTTTTCCTGACGCTGGCGCTGATTGTTGTATAGAGTGCCTCTAATCCGTTTTTTATCCTGGTAACTCTTCTTAGTTTACTATCCTTAATATTTCATCGAGTTTATTTATTATTAAACTTGAATTGATTCAGTTATAGATCAGTACTTATTAGAATCGTGAAGATTTTTGATTGATCATACCCATTAATACTGTATATTATTTGAAAAGCTGATACTGATGTCTAAATTTGAAGTAATGCTATTAGCACCTCAACAAGTGCTAAGTGATCAAGCACTGCATTTGCATCACTGGTTCTTCTAACTAGATGTTTTCATGATTTATTTTTATCTTTGCAGAAGTGGTTGGTTGCTTATAATGACTTTAACTGCAGGATTGGGTGCTTACAGATGGTCAAAGTATAAAGAAGTTGCTGGGTTGGGTAATGTGTGTCCCCTCAGATATCATTTGCTTTGTTATGTTGGGAGCATCTATTGCGTCTTGTCAGAAGTATTTCGTGATCAGTTTGGTTGGGTAATTGCAGTTGTGATTATGTATGACATGAAGAAAGAACTGAGTTATAGATTGAATCCCATATTTCAGCTAACCAAAAGTACATTAAACATGGGATCTTTATCTTCTTTTCTGGGTTTTGGGCTTTTTAATTATTTCTTTACTTAAATGTTTTGGGAATGAGGTGGAGGGTATATGCTTGAATGTAAGACTTGTAGATGCTACATGTCTAATGCCATCTGAATCATCTAGGATGAATAATCTTCATTCTATAGGAGAACAATACTTATACATTCTGTTTTCTTTTGTATTATTGGACAATTGTAATAGCCACTACATCTGCTTAGCTTTAAATGGTTTACCTATAAATGCCTTTTGATGGCTGGTTAATTTTATTGTATAGGAATGTTTCCAAGATAGCCACTGACTTCCAGTGTTGCTCTGCAGCTTCCCAGCTTGGAGAAGTTGGATGCTTATGCTGCAAACCAATGGGAGGTACTGTTAGTTTTTAATCACTATGTATTACATTGCTTAGTTGTTAATTGCATATAAAGTTGCAAGATTTTTCAATTGGCACCATACATCTCAGGAGGGCTATAAAATCTGTTGCGTAGTAGTCTTTGGTCTTTGTATATTGTTTCACAACCATTCCAGACATACATCTATGGCAGAGAAAATTGTCTGCTTGATACATATCCTCGCGTGTTTAAAATTCTTGCTCAAAGGTTTTTTTAAGATTTTGCTAACTAAGATTTCTTTTGTTACAGCAGAGATCACAGTTGCCAGAGATCCCATCACTGCTCTGGACAAGCACATATTCGAGAATAATTTGGGCAGTGAGGTTGCAATGAATGGTATGATAGCCCGAAAATTGAGTAGTCGAAGATGCTGTGAAAGGCCCTTGGATGTAAAGACAGTCCCTAAAACCTGACTACAAGCTGGACTACTGTTCTGGAATCAGATCTGATGAGAGGTACAAATACGAGGACTGAAAATTCACGAAGGGACTGCTCAGGTGTAAGCTCAATTTTCTTAGCAGATACTTTGGTACCTTGTCACTGGTCAAGAAGCTCGAACTGCTCCAAAGGGTTTTCAAGAGCTGGATGTATTCTCGAGATCCGGAATGAACTCTTACATGTAGGTGAAACCACGGCTGTAGGAAAGGAAGGATGCAAAGAATGTTCTCATAGAAGAAATTACAGCAATTTTTACAACCGTATGAGATGGTTTTTGGGTGATATTTCTGTTTTCTAAGTTATAAATTACTTTCTGTATACATTAAGCTTCAAACTAGAAACTTGAGTAACATCTTATGTTTCCGTTTCAACTTAAGGAGCTATTTCCTGTCTCATATGCTTCCGTTCCAACTACTGCTTAGGTTTATTCCTATACTTGACCAAATGATGGGTTTAGCTTCTGGCTCCGAAATTATAAATTAGGTGTATGGCATCACTTTGTAGAAGATTTTACGTGCTTTAACTTAGTCTTATTTCTCTTAAATTTTATATTCTTGCAGTGATTTGGACTTTAATTGATTCCGTAACTTTTCTTCTTTCCCCATTGTCATCTAATTCCTATTTTAGAAAAATACTTCAAAATTCAAAGCAGAAAATATTGTGTGAAATTGAGTACGAAAAATTGCTCTTGGGAGTTGGATATTGGATATATGTGAGCCTTAAGAATATTTCTCTTACCATTCACCTTGTCGAGACTCATCAATCAAGGAAATCACAAAGAACTTTTCAGAAACAACTATGCTAATTACTCGACATAAATCAATTTGCAAGATGGACCTGTTCACTATGAGTATCATCCAACCCAGAGCTATCCACCACAACATCTAAGTTTTATACCTCATGATTCAGTCAAAAAATTCCTATCGATTTCTCAATCACTGGTTAAGAATTTACTATCGATCTTGAGTTTTAACACATCAAAAATTTAATATTTGATGCTTTTCTTCTAATTAATTTGTCTAGCATGTTCTAAGAGATGTTTTTCAAAAAAAAATATTATTCATTATATTTATATAAACCCAGTATAACAATTCACAAAAGAAATGGCCGCACAACACATCAAATAACTTTTTGATGGGTTTTCACTGCTCTGCACCGTGTCTTTTTAAAGTCCACTCCAATACATTCAAAAATATTTTTAAAAAAACACTACACTTGTTTGGTGAATGTTATGCAGATCTCCAATGTTTAACTTAAATTTAAGTATAATAAAATGTTTTAAATTAAAAAATAACAAGAAATTAAAGAGATGCGCTAACGCGCGACAATGATAAGACTAGTTAAAACTAACAATGTTTTAAATTTTAGAGCCATGAAGGTACAAATCAGATTTATTTTTTTCGTATTTTTTTGTCTTTAAATTATTTTTATCATTTATGTGTGTTAATTTAAAAACAAAAAAAAAATTTAAAAACAAAGAAGGTAAAAAATGTCATAAAGCTAGAAGTAATCCCTTTGTTTCCAAAAGCAAAAATCAATACCCCTTAAAAAGGGGGATTTTTGAAGCCACCCACTTTAGTATTCAAAGCCACCAAAAAAAATTTAGACCATTTTGCCCCTGTCATTTAATACAATAGAGAGAGAAAGAGAATGAGTAATTCAGAGGTAAAAAAAAAGAAAACTTAAAAAACGATCCGAACCGGACAAGAAAACCGTCCCGGTTGAACTGGGGACGAGCAACAAACACGTCCGGCCATAGAACCAGACGCGTTCATTGCGCGTCCCCGGTTCAACCGGGACGCGTGTGTAACGCGTCCGGCCATTGAACCGGACGCGTTTATTGCGCGTCCAGTCCAACCGGGACGGCCCGGTTCGGTGAACAGTATTTTTTTAAATTTGTTTTTGTTTTTTAATTTTTTTAATTTTAATTTCATGCATGTTTTGTTAATTTAATTAAGTAGGAATATTATTATTTTATTTGTTAATTTAATTAGTTATGTTAAGTAATTTAATTAGTTAAATTTTATTTATTAATTGCATGTTATGTTAATTTAATTATGTAGGAATATTATTATTAATTAAGTAGGAATATTATTATTTTATTTGTTAATTTAATTAGTTATGTTAAGTAATTTAATTAGTTGAATTTTATTTATTTATTTAGGTTTAATTAATTAGAAATAATATTTATTTATTGGCAAAATTAAATAATTAAAGAATAATTTGGAATGAGTATTTAATTAAGTATTGGAAATGCAATTAATTAATTAATTAATTAATTAATTGCTAAATTAATAAATTATAGCTATTTAGGTAGGTATTGGGAAATTTAATTTACTAAATAATTTTGGATTAGTTGAGTTTTTGTATTTTTTATAATTAATCTTTTTACTGTAAATGTATTTTTTTTATTATTTATAATAATTGTATATCTTTTTTAAATGATTGGAATGTATGTTTAATTTAATTTATTATAATGCAGTTATTTTTTGTGGTAATTATATGTTTAATTTGCAGGATTCTTTCGAAGATTTTGGTGGCGATGGTGAAGATTACAGTATATTATTTGCTACAGATGAGGAATTTTCGGAAAAGGATGATATTGTTGATTGGGTGAAAGGCATGGGCATGGCAAATGGTATGATAATAAACGTAGTTTCTAGCAAGAGAAAGAATGGTGTTCTGATGAGATGTTGTAAAGGGGGAAAGGTGTCAGTTGATGATGGTGAATACTATGTCTCATCAGATTCGAAGACACAAATCACTGGATGTAAATTTAAGTTATATGTGCACTTAGTTGATGGAAAGTGGTGCATTCGTGTGTATCCTGGTGAGTTTGGAATTCATAACCACGAGCTGTTTGACGAAGATCATCCCACGAGGGGCCTTAGCGATGGAGTGAAACAGCTTATACAGGATATGTCCAAAGATGGGTGCAGACCGTGTCAGATCATGGCTGCGATTGAGAGGATATTTCCAGATGAAAAAGTTAATAGGCGGCAAGTCTACAATTTCATGAAGAAATTGCATAGTGAGGGGTTCCCGGTCTTGGGTGACTCGAGTGCCATGGATGTCGCGACGAAGACACTATCGGTGGCCAAGCATCATCGTTACATCATCATGACAGATTGCAATCAGGAGACAGATGTGCTGACTCGTGTTCTTTTTGCACATCCTGATGCTGTCAATTTATTTTGCACTTATTTCTGGGTCGTCGGGATAGACTCAACATACAAGACGAACAAGTACAAAATGCCGTTGGTAGAGTTTATTGGGATGACACCGTGCAACCAGAACTTCTTGATTGCATACGCCCTATTGAGTGGCGAGATTGGTGAAAGTTATTATTGGGCTTTGAGACAGTTTAGGGATTTTCTTCCTGGTCATCTGTCTCCGGCAGTTATTGTTACTGATCGGGAACCGGGGTTTATGGCACCGCTGGGTATGGTATTTCCAGATTCATGCCACTTGTTGTCTGTTTGGCATGTTTATGAGAATGTAAAGCGACATCTCAACAAGGAATTGAAATTTGAGGCCAAGATTGCAAATGGTTTTGCGTATGGGTTGTGGAAAGACGTTGTGGAAGCTAATAATCAGGATGAGTACAATAAAGCTGTTGCCGTAATAAACCGTCGCTGGCACAATTTTCCGAGAGTTCTTAATTATATCCATAAGACATGGCTAGTGGTTGACTACAAATTCGTCAAGGCATGGACGAATGCTGTGTTTCATATGAGCAACACTACTACAGGTAGGGTCGAGAGTGTGCACAAGCAATTAAAAACTTGGCTGAAAACATCTACTGCGTCGCTGGATACACTTTGGGCTAAGGTGCACTTGGAAATTCAGAGTCAGCTGACTGAAATACGGTAAGTTCTATTCCATTATATTATATATATTATAATATATTTAGTATTTTTGTCCGTATATTTTGCAATTTCCGTGGAATGTTTTACAGTAAGGGGTTACAAAAAAAAATACTACTTTCAGGTACAAACTGGAATACTCGAGACAGAAAATTGGCACCCATTATTGCAGTTTTCCACTGAACCGCTTGAAGTGTCAAGTTTCACATCCATGTTTGAAAAAACTGAACACTGAGTGGTCGAAGGCGCAAGAGTGGAAAGAAGAAACGAATGACAGATGTGATCATGTGGTTTACTGGACTTGTCGAATTCCATGGGCGTGCGCCCTCAAAAAGGCTACAGATGCCGGCACATCGATAACTCTTAAGCATATTCACCCATTCTGGGCGACCATTAATATCGATGAACAGGCTGGTACTGGTGGTTCGAGCGATGTGGATGACAATGTCCTTTATATCAGACAGTTGATGGAAGAGCTGAACGAGTGTCCTAAGGCAGTACGACGCACGGTAAATAGGACTCTCCATGATATTATGCATCCAGACAAGTGTGGGTTCAAACAACCCGAGGAGGTTAAGAGAAGGAAGGGGCTGCTGAAGGGGGCTAAATCAAAGAAAAAAGCAACACCTAATGTGTGGGATTACAAGGACGACACTCAAGGAAAGTCGACCACAGTTACCAGCGATTCAAGTAAGAAGCACCCCTCATCTTCAGGTGGTCGTACAGATGCATCCACAGGTACATGTTAAGAAGTTATTGTTGCCTCCATAATTTATTTATTAACGATTGTTCTAAATAACATTTGTTCCGTGTAATATACAGATATTTTTGCGAGTGATATTTCACAGTATGGTTGCTACGACCTCATTCCATGGCCCATTCGGGCATATATTACCAGTTACCTTGATGTTGGTGCCGATGGCAATTGTGGATTTCGTGTCGTCGCGAGTAACATGTATTTGTGCTAGGACAAGTGGGCGATGGCGAGAGAGGCAATTGCGACCGAGCTAGAACATAATTAGCATCTGTACAGTAGGATCTACGGGTATAAATACTTTTCATTTTCTATGTTATAATGTTTGCTGAACTTGGCAGTATTTTGCACAAATAATTATATATGTAAATGCAAGACGGAATGGCAGGAAGAAGTGACTCGTATTCGATGGAGTGGAAATGGTTTCGCACCTGAGCGCCATTGGATGTGTGCGACGGACTTGTTCCTAGTTGCGACTTTGAACAATGCAATTGTGCACTATTACGGTGCAGGAGAAGAGAACCAGTCGCTAAACACCTCATGTTGGACTATACTACCTGTCACTGCACGCGGTGAGGCAACATGTCCGGCATATCAGATTGGGGTATGTCACCTTGGTATTTACAAGCACTTCATTCGGATTAATTTGGACGGTGACTTTCCAGTTCCACCGATCAATAATCGGTGGACTAAGGAACATCATCCTAGCGTTGCTGGTTGGGAATTACCACTTCTTCCTAGAATTCAAGATTGGTATAGGTTTGTCCCCTCCAATCTTGGACGACCCGTGAATTATGATAATGATTTCATTGATCTTAGTTTCTTAGATTAGATCCATTACAATTTGTTTGTTGTGATGATGATAATGGTATTATCTAGTACCTAATTTGTTTGTTTTTTATGTATTGTGCAATAACATATCTTGTTGGCCATAAACTAAAAATCTTACCACACGGACACCAACTAAGCTAACTAATATATAACATACAATTTCAGCATAAAAAAAAAACCTAAATCCAGTCCAAGAAACAAAAAAATAAACAAATCCAGTCTAAGAATACGACAATGACAATGCTCATGAGGCCTTGTAATAACGGACCATCGTATTGCAGCTTCTCATCATATTCATCAGCGAGCTCGTGATCGGACACTTTGACCTTTTTAATCAGGTCCGTAGTGATTTTCCTCAATTCATTCATCCACTGAAAAAAAAAACAAAAATGGTTAAACAATTTATAATATAAAAATGTATATCTTAAAAAACCCAAATATTAGAAATACAACTTACATAATCCTTATTGCTCCTAGCTAGTGTAGGGACTGCAGATGGGTCAGTTGTCGGCAGCAGAAATGGATGTGAATACTGCATGTACCATTCAAGGTACCCATCCTCACACTCCCCTACGATGTTACCGAAATTGTAGCGCCTCAAGATCAAATTAATACACGCTGACTCCGGGAATCTCCTCCAAGTACTGAGTGTGTCAACAGCAGAATGCTCTACAAAGTACTGGGTAGTCATGGATCCTCGGAATGCAACATCAGGGGCCATGGGCGAACGAGGAATACTCTGTAGAAGCCAATCTGACGTATACATCTGTCCGGCATGTATGGCTCCTGCAAGTTCCTATACATTATCCACCCACTGTAGATAGTCCTCGGAACTATTCCTTGTAGGCCATGTCCAAATGGCTCCCACTTTACCTGCAAAATATTATTTTGATTATTTATAAACATAAATTTCAACAAAAAAATGAAATACAGTCAAAGGAAGCTAGATGTACCTCTAATTCAGTGAAACGGTCGAGACGCTCCCTAACCTGACGAAGACGATCTGGCACAGATGTCAGCCCCGCAAAAGATGGTGGTATCCAGTCATGTACTCTGGGCCTGTCATTACCCCCACGGGTAACTCGCCCTCCTTGGGGGCGGAAACACTGGAAATACTCGTAAATCCAGGCCTGCAGTAGGGTCAAATAACCACCTAACTGAGTGCACTTTGCCCTACTAGCCATCCCTATCTGACGGTATAGGAACGCAAGCGTAGCAGAGCCCCACGAGTATGAACCCATATTTTTTATCCCAGCCATCAGCTCATGTACAAGTGAAAAACTGCATCTTCCACCACTCTTGCCCATGAACAATGTCGAGGCTAACAATACCCACAAGAAAGCAGAGGCCTGGGTATTCTCATCCGCTTTCTGGCATCGCTCAAGGATGAACCAATCAGAGGCACCGCCATGACTCCATTTATAACCATTTACATCCAGCTCAAGTATCCCTACTGCATGTGCCCTCAACACATCTGTCTCGGACGTACCTGACACCAACTCTCCATCAACCCCAATGCCCAAAATATGATAAACATCATGCATCATGATGGTCATCTCCCTAAACGGGAAATGAAATGAGTTTGTGTCCGGCTGCCACCTCTCAACAAATGCACTTACTAAGCCAAGATCAATATGTTCATACGAGGTATGAAGAAGGTGACCCAATCCAGTCCCCCGAATCTTGCCTTTCACTACATCATCCATATCTTTATACCACATCTTTAACTTATTCAGAATCTTTTCCCCTTTAAAAATCTTTAGGATGGATCTATTATATCCATGCCAGAAATGATAAGCAATATGCCCAAGGCAGCTAGGAATCACGCTACCATCTTTCGGCCCACCAGGTACTTCATTTGTCACTAGCCATATAGTCGGATCAATTTCATCAGAAACTCTCGACTGGCTGCAGCCGCCTGTACCATGAATGAGTAAACCATATATTATTTATTATATTTTATACACATACAACAATTCAATACATATAAGGGAAAAAATTAATTTTAAATAATTAAATAATTTTAATTAATTACAACAATTAAATATAGATAGTTGGTACCTGATGATGCTATAGTGGTAACTGGACGTTAGATACTCCAGTGGATCCGGGACCTCGGCTAGGGCACACGGGATCAATGAGAGGGGGAGGACGTGTAGATACTCCAGCGGAGACGGGACCTCCGCGAGGGAGCATGGGATCAATGCGGGGGGGCGGGGGTGGTGGGGGAGATGCCTAAGCGGGGCGGGAGGGACGAGGCCGACTACCGGTGGATGTACCCTGTGGGAATTGACCGGGATGCGGGAAAGAGGGACTATAATGTGGACTGCGCCACTCACCACTCATAGGAGAAGGGATAGGGGTAGGGAGAGAGGGTAAACCGCCAAGACCAGGCTGTGGACAACCAAACAGGGGAGGAGGGTAACTACTAAGATTGTACATAGGCGTATCTCTGTGATGCGCACCCATCCTAACACTGTCCTGCACATCATCCTCATCAAACTCATTCTCCTCATCCTCCTCATCCTCATCCTCCTCTTCCAGGTCGTCCTTAGAATACTCGGGTACATTAATCGGCTGACTAGACCGAGTCTAAAACGGTACACCACCCATATTGACCTGAGTCATTTTCATTCGCTTCTTTAACTCTTTTTCCTCTTTTTTCTTCCGACGACTCATGGTCAGATAACGCGCACGAACCTTACGCTTACTTGTATCTTCAGTATCACTATCATCATCATCATCACAATAAACCTATAAACAAAATTTTATTCATCATCATCATATTTTCCTAGTATAAACAAATAATTATACACATTTCCTAAATCCTAAATAGTTTAATAATTAAGTACACTTTGATTAAACGTACAATTCATATAATAATGATTTGCGATGTACATAATATAAAAGTAATTATCATACAATAATTAACTAAACAAATTAATATACCCTTAATCTATTGTACTTCATTATAAACTAAAATACTTTACCAAATTTTTTATTAAATTACTATTAATTATAATTAATCCAAAATACTCAACTATATTACAAAATATTTATATTAATTTAATTAATCATAAACTACATTACAAACAAATTAGATTAATTTTACTAATCTACTATTAATTAAATTAAAAATATAACCTAAATACTTTAATAACCTAAGTAATTTAATCAATTAAACTAATGAGGTAGTGAACTAATCTACTATTAATTAAATTAATTTTTAAAATTTGACTAATTTACATACTATTTAAATTAATTTAATCAATTAAAATGATTAATTTACTAATCTACTATTAATTAAGTTAAAAATATAACCTAAATACTTTAATAACTATTTAAATTAAGTAATTTAATCAATTAAATAATTAGGTAGTGAACTAATCTAGTATTAATTAAATTAGTCTTTAAAATTTGACTAATTTACATATTATTTAAATTAATTTAATCAATTAAAATGATTAATTTACTAATCTACTATTAATTAAATTAAAAATATAACATAAATACTTTAATAACTATTTAAATTAAGTAATTTAATCAATTAAACTAATTAGGTAGTGAACTAATTTACTATTAATTAAATTAATCTTTAAACTCAACTAATTTACAAACTAGTCAAATTAAATTATGTACACAATTAAACTAAATAAGAAACTAATAAAGAACTTCAATCTAAATCACAAATTATTAACTAATAAATAATTACATTATAACCCTAATTACATTAAATTAAACATAATTAAAAACTAATAAATAATTAAACAAATTTAAAAATAAAATAAAAAAATAATTCTGACCGGAAAAAAAATTCCGGCCGCCGGACAGGCAGAGAAGCCGTCCGGCGGCACGACCGGGACGCGCAAGAAACGCGTCCCCGTTCTACCCGGAACGAGCAGAACGCGCGTTCCGGGTTGAACTGGGACGCATTTCTTGCGCGACCCGGTCGCGCTGCAGGACGCCTTCCATGGCCGTCCGGCAGCCTTCCGCGCGTTCCGGGTTGAACCGGGACGCGTTTCTTGTGCGTCCCGGTCGAGCCGTCGGACGACTTCTCTGCCCGTCCGGCGGCCAGAAACCTTTTTTTTTTCTACAATTCACAAATTTTTTTTAAAAGAAAACCTACCCTTGATGAGATCGGCTCTTTCCCGCTTTGATTCTTCCGTGTTGCCATCAATTTTGGATCAAATCAGACTTTAAATTAGGGTTTGGAAGGGTGGTGGCTTCAAGTTTTCTCTCTTTTTTCCTTTGGTGGAAGTTTGAAATGTGAGAGGCAAAATAGTCCAAAAAAATTATGGTGGTTTTAAAAAGTAAAGATGGTGGTTTCAAAAACTAACGGCCTTTAAAAAATTCTTGATTTTACCAAAAAAAATAAAAAATCCTTGATAAAATACTCCTATACCTTTGTGGCTACGTGGATGGATGATTGTGCTTCACTTTTTAGTCCACAATGCAATTCCACCTAAGCGTTTCCATTATCTCCAACATAACGTAAACTGTACTTCCAAAAGATGATTCCATTGTTGTTTATGGACGATCAACAAGTCTTTAATAAAGTCAGTTTTCTTTTCTGCAATTATGGGATTACCTCATGCATCCAATCAGTAGAGAGAGAGAAATTTTATATACTGTGCTTAATTTTGTCCCAGCAATTTACATTTTACACAGGAAAGTCCTTAACTTTGAAGGGGCCATAGTAGTCATGGCGGATTCTTCCGGGTTCACTCTTGAATCAGTGAGAAAAAGCCTAATTCGTCAGGAAGACACCCTTGTTTTCAATCTTATTGAGAGAGCAAAATACCCGATTGTTCCACAGTTGTACGATGATGGCAACTGCCCCATTTTACCTGGGAGTTCGGATTCTTTCCTTGAGTCATTTGTTAAGGAAACAGAAGCCGTCCAAGCAAAGGTACGATGTTTTTTTGTTGGTATGATTTCTAGCAATGAAATGTTGATTTTCGCCATATGGAACCCAATTTTAATTGATTACTTTGAATGTGTCCGAAATCATTAAAGTTTGGTGCTTTTTGCTTGGAAGGACTGTGAAATGTAGTTATATCCCGGCTTTGATCGTTTCGGATGGAAGGTTTAGTGACATTGATCTTGATAACCTAATGCCTCGGAAATTTTATTTTTGAGGAGATTGTTGTGTTGCTGATTGGAAGCTTTTGCCTGTCTTCTTTAAATTCTGTTTATCCCTTGTTCTCTTCTTACGGTCATCAATCAAGTGTATGACAAAAGTTTTGTAAAATGAATTTGGTGTAAGTTATGTTTACAATTCAATCAATTGTATTATTCATTTCGTCCGGTTAAGTTACGCATTGATGCTTAATAGGGACGTATGGTTGGGCATAATCGAGGGACTAAACTTGTTCTTTTAGACTGGATTGAGACACTCTACTGGGCTCTGAAACTTTTTTTCCAACCCCAGAAAACCTTCCTCTAAATGTTTCTGATCCTGCAATCTTGTCCTGCTTGTCAGTTGGTTGAATCCTTCTTGTTTCTTACCATTTGATAAATTGATAGAGTAACAAAGATCAGCACATTGAACTATTACTATATAGTGAGTCAGTAATGTCTGCCTGAGAATTATCTTGTAAATAAACTGTGAATCTATTTGTATATCAACCTCTGTTAATAATTTAGGACACTGTGTTTGAAGGGAGTTTCAGTTTCAACTACATTCACCATTCGGAAACATTTTCCATCTTCTGTGGGCACTTATAATCTTGTTTCCGTTCAAGAATTTCTTTTGTCTGAACGTTATTAATGATCACATTGTTAGTGCTCACTAGAGCATGGTATATGTATACTTCATTTCTTGAAGGTTGAAACTTAAGGGATCATATCTTTCCATGTGATTGAAATTCTCATGTTTGCGAAAAAAAAAAAATTCTATCGTCTCTGTTGTTTTTAGTGATTGCCCTATTAATGTAATCACTAGGTTTAATCAATCTTTTGGCTTAATTTTGTTCTGATTTTGTATGAAGGTCTCATGCAATTTGCCTCACCATCAGAGATGTGTGTGTGTGTGTGTGTGTGTGTGTAATGAAAGATAAAGGATCATACTTGTATGTTACCTGTTTGACATGCACCCGTGAATCATGTTCTGAATTCTGAAAATTCGAAAAAAGATATACTTCTGAATACTTATTGATTATTTGTGGTCTCTCTCAAAGTTCTGAAGCCTTTTCTGTGTTTTGGCATGCTTGATTTCTTCTCCATTATGTTACACACAACAATCATCACTGCTTCGGTTCTTCCTTGAATGTTGTATTAGGTCTCACGACGCTAAGGCTCTTCAGTTATCTTTGGCGTATTAGGACTCACAAAGCTATGGCTCTTCAATTATCTTTGGCACAGATGATTGATAAATACACCCCACATTTGGACATCATTTTTGGTACAACCATATATTAGCCGGGTAATACTTAGGCTTTGAATCAGAATCCGCATAAATAACTCACTACTGAAATTGATCAATGTCAGATCAACCCATCCAACCTGTTAATAAGTAGAAACACTTAGACCAAAATTGTGAAATTGCATATCCTTACTGTGCCCTTATAAATTATGCTACGATTTTTTTTTTGGTTATTTTTGTGGTGCTTTTCATATCAGTTCGAAGTGAGTATTTTGTTATTGTATAGACTGGATCAAGGGCATCCAGCAGAAACTCTACAGATATGTTATGTCCATGGGCTTGATATTGGATCTTGATTATATATGTGTGGGAAAGTTATTTTTAATCATACTCTGCACGTGTCTGCAAGTGATAACCGTAACAAGAAAAGTTCCACAAAATTATACAGACAATCGCCCATCGCTAAAACAAGAAAAATGAACTGAACTCCCCTGTTGCTGCACGACAAACATTTTCTTTTAGATCATAGTTGTCTCAAGGCTGAAATTATAGGAGGACCTGTGTTTCTGAAGTCATTCTTATTCTTGAATCTGCTATTTAGTAACAAAACTGCTTAACATTAGCTTAGATTGTGTTTGTGGCTGTGACATTCCTGATAGTTGTAGTTACTCTAAACGTGGATTTCATTTTTGACAGTTTGGTAGATATCAATCTCCTGAAGAGCATCCTTTCTTCCCAGATAAACTACCAGAATCTTTGGTGTTACCTCCCAGGACTACCCAGGTACTGACAAGGAACCCATTTTCAAAATATCTGAGCATCATATAACTAAATTTAATGTCTTCTTTTACCCAAAACCTTCTGCAATGCAGATTTTGCACTCGGCAGCGGCTTCTATTAACATAAATAAAGCGATCTGGGATATTTACATCAATAAGGTGCTCCCACTTATTGCATCTGAAGGTCGTGATGACAATTACACAAGCATTGCTGGGTGTGACTTGCAGTGTTTGCAGGTAGTATAGGATAATGCATAGGATTTAGTGGTGCCAAAATTTCTACCACTCTAAATCAAAACTAAGCAGATCCTGAATTATGTTTCATTGGTAGTAATGATTCGAGTTCTGCATGTAAAATACTTTGCTGCCCTTTTTTGAAAAGGTTCCAACTTCTTGTGCTACCTATGAATTATTGAATGCTAGGTGTTCCTTTTTGTAGGCATTGTCTAGAAGGATTCACTATGGAAAGTTTGTGGCAGAAGTGAAATTTAAAGATGCTCCCGAAGAGTATACACCAGCAATACAAGCTCAGGTAACTTTCTCTCACTATTATACTGATGTGGCTAATCAGCTACTCATGCCAACTATCATCATCATGATAAGTTGATAATAACTCATGAAGTTTAAGTAACTCCTTTATATGAGTGCTACCATCATATTGTAATCCAGTTAAGCAGTTTGCAACCAACTACTTATTTGGTGGTCATGACACGAATCAGTCGTGCAGGATAGAGATGCACTGATGAAGCTTTTAACATTTGAAAGCGTTGAGGAGATGGTAAAGAAGAGAGTGGAAAAGAAAGCCAGAGTATTTGGGCAAGACGTGACCCTTGACAGTAATGATAGCCAGGGGAACTTCAAAGTCAATCCATCCGTGCTTCCTCGCCTGTACGGGGAATGGGTGATGCCACTAACCAAAGAGGTTCAAGTTGAGTATCTTCTTCGCCGTCTTGATTAAACCTTTCGTGGCAATAACCATCTCAAAGTACACGATCATTCAGTGCCTTGAAGGTGATCATTAGGCAGGTTGGTTTGAACTATCTGGAGTTGTAGGAACAAGATTGTTCCATATAAATTTGTTATGGATGCTGCTAATTCACAACTATATATGAAAATGGAAAATGAACTGTACACGCTAATAGACTTCAACTTTTGTTTGTTTTAGACTTTAGATCATGATCGCTTATCAAGTTCGATAGACAAACTTGTCAATAAGCATGTCAAACTCAAGTAAATTCCTAAAAAATGCAATGGAGATTATCATTACACTTCCGGCAATGAAAACAGATGATGGTTTTGGACTTGGATATGAGTTTGAAGCAAAGTAGATTTCTTTTTAGTCCATTTTCAATCATTACTGCTTGATTATTGGATCAGAAGACCCTTGTTAGCACTTATCAGGTGGATTACATTTGTTTTTTGTTGTGATATTCGCATGTAGAGTATCACAAGCAGCTCCTCCAAGCAATGCTGCAGAGGTGGCAGCCGGCACTGCTTGGCCCACTCCGCTTGATTCTGGCGGGATCAGGGGAACAAGGATATTTTGGGCTTTCATAGATTTTCGTCCGAAGAACGAGAGATGAAACTCGTTAGAATTAGGTTTAAGGAGGAAGTTCAATTCAACCTTATTAAGTAGAGTATTTTTTTGAAACAAAGTGAGTAATTTAAGTATTTATTTTAACGATTAAAATGTGAGTGGGGAGTTGGGGAGTAAGATACAATGAAGATAAGTACTATTTGGTTTACCACTTATGGAGTTGTGTTTATTAGGGTCATTTAGCGACAAGTATGCAAACTTGTAGTCCCTACAACTTTTTTAATTTGGTCAATACACCAAATATATAACTCATTTTATGCCTCTAATTTTCACTAATGTCCCTTCTAGTTATTCTATAAAAGTTAACTACATGTACATTTATTTTACAACTTAAATTTCATCAAAATTTTTATCTCAAAAAATATTGACAGTGGATCTTGATGGAAATATCTCGTTACGTAGATTAATTTGACATATAACACATTTTTTTTAATTATTCATCTATTAAAAGATATAACCATTTAAAAAAATAAGAGAAAACTAAAAAAAAAAAATCAGAGGAAGTGGATCTTGTTTTCTTTACCATTACTCTTTTGGATATTTATCAATTCAATTAATTTTGACTTTTGTGAAACTGGATTATTTTGTTGAGACAAATTTTTTTATTAAATTAGACAATTTTTGTGGGACGGAGGGAGTAGCACTTTGGGGAGCTAAAAACTAGAATCCATTTTCATCACAATTTGCGAACCGCTGAAAACACTGAGAGTATGTTCGGTTGCTTGGCATTGAATTCAATTAGCATTATATTATTTTGAAATTGCATTAGCATTAAAGATATTTTAATTGAATGACAATTCCTTTATTCGGCAAAATCATGGAATTGGCCACAAATTCGGTTCGGTTGGTTAATTAATTTGGTTGGTTTTGGCATTTACTTTTCTTTAAATTGGTTTATTTTAAAATTATTTCAACTTTTAATTTTTGTTTTGTTAACTTGTGTCCTTTCTAGAGTAATATCTAGATTTATTTTGTTACCATTTTTAATGTGACAAATAAGAAACACTTTAAATTTTTGTTTTTAAAATTTATCAATTATTTAAATATTCGTTATAATAATCAATTTTGGTCATTCCAACACTATTACATTAACATAATTTTTATTTATTTTTTAATTTAATTAATTTTGAAATTTTTTCAACTTTGTAATTTATATTGTGTTAAAATAATTGTCAATACATATATATGTAGAACGAATAATATTATGGATAAACAATGTGGGAATATTATGTTAGATAGTCTATTTTATTAATTAAAATTTTCTTATATTATTGCTGTCAGAAGGCAATGAATCTTCTTCTTCCTGATGATCTTTCACCACATAATTTATATCTTCATCTTCCGCACCAAATGCACACAGCCTTTGAGATGTATTAATATAATCGAAGTGCAAATTCAAGTTTCATTGATAGGTTCAACTGCAACCTCGTGGAGAAGCAACTCCCAAACATGAAATAGAGCAACAAACATATTGTCAATGACCAAAGCAAAATCAAAACATGAATGATCAAGAATGAGGCCTGTATTCTAATTTTGACAAGTATACAAATTAGAGACTAACAAAACAAAAGAACATATAATTTGTAGCTAGATTAGAAAAAGATTGACCATTGTTAAAAGATTTCATTTAGAATCAACATGCTGCAAACCTGCAAGTGGTCTAATGCATCTATAATGTAGCCAAAAATATAAGAGTTCAATTACATTGTCACTATAATCCAAGCTCTAGTAACAGATATGACACACATCAACTATCATATTAGACAAAACTTCCCCCAGAATCTCACACATGACCAGGACATGCATCATTACATTCAGTTTTAAGACAAAAACAATGAAAGGCACAACTTGCATCAGGATTATCAAGAAGAACGTGTCTTACTTTAAATTCAAGATAACAACCTTAGGAAATTAAAAATAACTTAAAAACAATTCTAAAACGAAATCTCCAATCAGCATCAATATCATGAAGACTTGACAACTAATGATATGGTCCTATTTTTAAAACCAAAGCAGTCAAGGAGGACATGAATCAGAAACACAAAAGAGAGGTCGTATTCCTAGACCATAGTTGTCCTGAAGGTCCATCCTAAATTTGAAGCAGGATATTAGATATTTGGCTATCCAAGTAAACCCCTATATGTTTTACTTATATCATGTCCTAGAGAGAATTAATCATAAACAAGAAAACGCAGGTTAAGCTAACACAATTGAAAAACCAACAACCAAAATCAATACAAAGTTCGAAAATTTACCAGTGATACATGAAGGCGAAGTAGGGATGTAAATATGAATTCTTCCTATTGCTTACCTCAATCAAACTGTATTCAGAGAACTTCAACTTTACGCCATGGTTACCTTCACATATACATCTGCAGAGAAGAGCTGAAAGAAGAATCCCAACAACAAAAAACCATTTGAAAACTCAGTAAGGAGACGAACCCAGAAAGCACAAACGAGTATTATAGCAGTTAACGACGAGTATCACCTTCCAAAAGTCAATCTTAGAGCATAAAAAGGCACTAACTTTACCAACCAGCAAACACATACAAGGGAATAAGCTCCACCAAAAGAACTAAACTAAGTCCTGCCCAACCAGAATAATACAACCTAAAATACTATTCACGTGTACCAACAGTCTCTTTTTTTTCTTTTTGCCGATTGTGCCCTAACCCTGCCATGACGGAAATAAGTTAGATGTTATGACACTTCACTTATCTGAGATTGCAAATGCATGAAAACATCTACCACAGTCAAGAAGCATGAGGAGATCACAGCTTATCACTGTCGTCTCATAATTCATTACATATGTGCCAAATAACCTCAACTCTTCCCCACACTAACCACAAAGCCATCGCCACATATAAATGTACTCATAATAGAGAAATCCAAAAAAATTGTCCATCCCATCAGCCTCCTAAAATCCAGTAATGCAATTATGCACCGCCAGGGTTGCAAGCTCAGAAAATCACATAGATTATGGGATTTGTACTTAAATATCAAATTACTCCAGTGAAAGAAGGACTAACGAGAATTTATCTACGGATTCTTCATCTACTCATGTGTTGTTTGCATAGAATATACAATCAAGTACCAGCGTTGCAGTGGTCCAAGACTATACACTAAAGAGAAATGCAGAGACTGATATTGTTTGCTCAAAGTTAGTACAATATGGCGATATTACCATGCCTGCAAGTCAATCGAACCTAGGCCACCCCTTTCACATTTCCCAATCAATAAGTGTAACATAAAAAGATTTCACCATAGACCAACACCAATTACGAAGGAGTAACATCATCATTTACAGAAATGACTATACAATTTCGATGGGGGAAGAAAATCCTAATAAATTGAAAAAGGGGGAAACAGTTTCTGAGAGCATAGCATGTAATAGCCATTTGATCAGAAATCAAACTACAAATTTGTATCTTGAAATAACAGTATCAAGTGAAGGGGAAACCGTATGGAAATAAATCACCCTTGATATACAGGATAGCTAGCTTTCATCAGAAAAAATAAGTGACAAATCATCTATCTAACAAGACAGCAGAAAATGCATCTAAACTCAAAATATTCGAAGATGAAAGCAAACAGATACTGCCTACTGGTACTACCTAGAATGAGAACCATACAGGGAAATCCCAAAAAAAACCAAACCAAATTTGAGATTCCTTTAATTTAACCCAGTTCGAATCTGGCTCAATCAGTGAAAACCCAAGAAAAATTCAGACAGATCCAAGATAAAATACGAAGAATTTTGTAAAAATCCAACCATCAGAAGAAAATCTCGATGAATTGATGGACAACTAAGTGGCTAACCCTAACCAAATCAAAAGTAAGAAAAAGAAAGAAAAAAAAAAAAGAAAGACTACCAAGAAACAACTGCCTCTTCCTTCGCCTTCGTCTTCTCCGTTGCTGATTATGTTAAGATTGCTGGGTAGTTTAGCCGGAAATTGTATGGATTAATGGAGGAGAAATAGTGGAGAAAAAAGAGTAGAGGAGAAAGACGGGAAACACGATGGGATTATGGGAGTAGGAAAAAAAGAAACCGGCATAGTAAAGAGTACCCGAACTCGAAGTTTAAATATAGAAACTCGGAAAAGACCCGCGACTTCTTAAACTCCACGAAATCTTGGAATTTCAAATAATAGTTTCGAGCCCGGAATTGAAATCATGGTATTGGAAGTATTTTGGCATTCGATCAATGCCAATTCCATCCCATTTTTGGACAGCCGAACAACAAATTTGGTATTAAGGGCGTAAATTCCAATTCCAAACCCCCATTGCCAAGCAAACAAACAGAGCCTGATTCAATTCTAAGATCACATATTTATTTTGTCATCATCGATGCGTGAGAGAATGTCAGTCAAACGTTTTGATGTTCATATTTAACTTTTCAAAAATATACTGTATCATTAGATGATCGATTAAATAGTTTGATTTGAATTTTGATATGCAAATTTGGGTGATTAATGAATCAAATGGTTCCAAAAGAATTACGATGGGCCATCAAAATAGTAATCCATGGACATAATAAAGTCCACTAATTTATCCAAACGGGAGTCGTTTGAAAATGTGAGTACATTGTGCCGTGAAGTAAAAAAACTGTAAAACTAACGGTAAATCAAATGTAAAAATAGTACTTCTTCATTCCCAAAATAAAATAAAAATAAAAATAGTGCTGCCACTCAAAACACAATGTGGACTTATTCTTTTTTTTTTTTGACTGAGTGATTATTAATTATCGCAAATGCACTTTTGCATAAAATGATATCGAATTTTTCAACACAAAGGAAAACAACAAAAAAAAAAACAGAGAATAATAAGTAAACCCAAAAAAAAAAAATTCTGAAATCAAATTCCAGCGGGTAGTAATAACTCTTCTTCCTTCCCTCTCCATTTTTCTTTTTCTATTTTTTATTAGGGAGAAAAAAAATGAAAAACAAAGCTGCTCTCCTACAAAAAGATAAAAAGAGATAGAAACATATTTTCCAACAAGGAGAAAAATAAATTTCCTAACAGATAATAAAATCAAATTTGGGCTAGGCTATTTTACTTGCCCACCAAATTCATTTAATCTACAGTCCATTTCTTAAGCCCAGCCCAGTAGCCCAGATTTGGCTAGGTTTTAGGGTTTAGTATTTTAGAGCCGGGTCTCATGAGAGCTTCCCTTCTGTTTGCTTCCCTCACCCCTGTCAAGCCACCGGCTAGGAGAACCAGCAGCCATGGTAAAGTTTCAGAGATTTCTATCACCTTCGTCTTTGTAGATTTCGAGCTTCATACTTCTTTTGTGTCTTTTCCTTTCGATTTGAAGATGGCTTCTTTTTCGCTTGTGATGTAAATTAAATTTATGTTGTTTTTTGGATTTTATGGTACATTTATCAGCTCTGTGCTCATGGGTTTATTCCTTTATTCCTGAAAATATCTTTTCCCGTCCATTTAGGATTCATCTCTTCATCGAGTGTAAAAAAATGTATGTTTTTAATCGTTTTTTTTTTTTTTTGCTATAAAAACTGGATGCACCAATTTGTTGAATTCACTCTTGAAGGGTTAGATATGTGCATTTGTGAACCGGAAATGCTGTACTGTTTGTTGGATTTTCTTTGTATTAGTGATTTATGTTTACTTGATACATTTGTTGATTTATGTTAACTGTTTGCTCTATATGGTTTGGTTCACGCTTTAATTCCATGAATTTAAGTTTTGTGCTACTGTAACTAATTTGAGCTGGGTTTTACTTTACTTTGTAGGCTTTTGTTAAAGCCCAAAAGGGTAAAGCTTACTTCAAGAGGTACCAAGTTCAGTTTAAGAGGAGGAGAGGTAAATAGGTTTCTACCTTGCTTTTGCTTGACCAGGAATTTAGTCATATAGTGATGAAATGATTTGTCATTTTTGTAACTTTTCAGAGGGAAAGACGGACTACCGAGCAAGGGTGCGCCTGATCAATCAGGACAAAAATAAGTACAACACTCCAAAATATCGATTCGTTGTGAGATTTGTATCCTTCTTTACTGTGCTGCCAGGTGAACTCAAATGTTCTGGTTGCTTAGTACTGGTCATATTTCTTTTCCCTGTCCTAGAATTTCCTCCTTTTGTTTTTATTAAACTGGTCCTGTATAGTTATGCGGGGTTTCGATTAGTAGGTTTTGGCATTGTTCATGGTCCCCTGCATGTTTCTAAAGTTTTATATTTCTGAGTCAAGTAGAACCTAGTTGACAAGAGTTAACAGTGTTATGCTGATACTGGCTTTGTCTTAGAAGTCGGATTGCTGCAATGAATTTTTGGTTGGGTTTCTTTTTACCTAGAACTTTTATGACGTGGTATTTGGAGTTCTATTATGCTATTTGAGTTCCTTAATGCCACCTTCAGACCAAGAAGGATATAATTGCCCAGATTGTTTCTGCCAGCATTGCTGGTGACATGGTGATGGCAGCTGCTTATGCCCATGAATTGCCTCATTATGGTCTTGAAGTGGGTCTCACCAATTATGCTGCTGGTAGGACGGACTGGATTGCTATTTATAATATCTTGATCCTGTAATCTAGTGTCCTTTTTCCTTTTTTTTTTTTGTGACTGTTGATTTTGGTATGCTAGCCTACTGCACTGGACTTCTTCTTGCTCGCCGAGTTCTGAAAAAGCTGGAAATGGATCAGGAGTATGAAGGAAATGTTGAGGTAATAGACTGTTAGCTTTCTGCTGGATATTTATGTGCTTTATGCTTTTCCTTCAACACAATCTGGTGGTAAGCCAAATCTGTGATCTTTCTGCTGATTGTTAATTTAGCTACTTTGTTGACAGGCTACTGGTGAAGATTACTCTGTTGAACCAGCTGAGAGCAGGAGGCCTTTCCGTGCACTTTTAGATGTTGGTCTTATCCGAACTACAACTGGGAATCGTGTTTTTGGTTCCTTGAAGGTATCATGCTTTAAAGATTACGGCAGTTTGTGTTGTGAAACTAAATAATTTTTAAACTCTGTTCAACCGCTATATATACTTGTAATTTTCTGATCTTGAATTCTGTAATTGCATGCAAGCGATCTGACGGTGTCTAGCTTGCAAATATGGTAAACATGATCTAGGAAGTTGCTTCCTTTATTAGTTTAATGAATGATCAGAAAGTGAGTAATAAAAAGCTGAAAGAAATCACCATAGTCTTTTGTGGCTGCCATTTAAGAATCCAATGTATTCTTATATAAAGGACAACCCAGTTGTTGAGAAGTTTTTGATCGTCATAGTTTGTTGTCTTTTCTGGGAATGTTGAAATTAGTTTATGGCATGTGTTTCAGAGAAATGCTTCTGTATGGTTTCATTTGTTTTTGTGATGTTTTTATTTTCTCCTTGAATTGTTTTTTATCAATATGCTTGCTTCCTGTTTTCAGGGGGCACTTGATGGTGGCCTTGACATTCCCCACAGTGAAAAGAGGTTTGCCGGATATGGCAAAGATAGTAAGGAACTTGACACGGAGACTCACCGCAAATACATCTATGGTGGCCATGTTGCTGCATACATGAGGGTGCGTGTATATTTGTTGACATCTGCGCCTTCTCTCCGTTAACTGTTCTGCTTGTGACACTAGATTTCTGAACTGCACATGCAGACTCTGGCAGAAGATGAGCCTGAGAGGTTCCAATCCCATTTTAGTGAATATATCAAGAAGGGTATTGAGGCGGATGACCTTGAAGGATTGTACAAGAAGGTTCATGCAGCGATCCGTGCTGATCCAACTCCAAAGAAATCTGAGAAGCAGCCTCCAAAGGAGCACAAGAGGTTAGTTTTGATGGATATTTTTTCTATATGTCGTGGCATTCCCTTCTGGTAATGACAATAAGAAAAAGCTTCTCTGTGAATTATGCTGGTTTCTACCTATTCTACATAGGTGCCTTGTTGATGTCTACTGGCAACTTTTAGTGTAACTGCACCTGCTGAAATATAATACGGCTTTTTCGTTCTTGTGTATTTTTTCTTGCTGCTTCTCTCAGATACAACCTGAAGAAGCTAACCTACGAGGAGAGGAAGGCTAGGTTGATAGAGAGGCTCAATGCATTGAATTCTGCTGCTGGAAACAATGATGACGATGACGATGACGACGAGTGAATGATAGGTGTAACTTGATCTCTTGCTCTGTCGTTGTGTTTCTTTTTTATTCTGGGTAGAAGATCATCGGAAATTTTGCTTTTTTCTTTTAGAGAAAGGGAACCTGTAATAGTTTTTGCTAGGAGTATGAAGTATGAAAAACCTAGTCATTCGCTCAATGTGGATGTTACTGCTGTAATTCAAAGTTTTATATTTAAGTGTTATTACCAGTTTCAGCAGTTTGGGGAGGGGTTTAATTTATAATTTAAGTGTTGCCAAGTTTTGCAATTTGGGGGAGCCTTGATTACACATAATTTGCCAGATTAATCATTACAACTGTTGGCATTAAGTCTCTGGAGGGATTAAGTGTATGTTTGTTCTACATTTTGAACTTGAAGTTGCTACATTCCGGTTGTATATACTTTTCTTGACTATGGCGGGATCGCAGGAATCCTAGGATACTTTAGACTTCGTAGGTTTTGGTTGGAAGAGCAATAGATTAAACTCCTTAGAAATATAGGTTTTAGGGGAAACTTAAACCTGCATAACACTTTTTTTTGGGAACAGAATGAGTAGTATTTATCCTACATATTTTATAAGGTTTTTTCGATAATTTAAAATGCAAAACATGTCTATGAAAAAGACCATTTAATACATTATTTTGATCTGTGGAATTTGTATACAAAGTAATTTTAGTTACATGAAGAAAAGGTGAAAAAGTCTGGGGTAAGATCTTGTTAAATTTTAATGTATCAACACGATCTTTCACAAAAACTAATAGAAGGTGAAAGGGAAATATGAAATTTGGTGGTGTCAATCCAAATTCAGTAAAAAAAGAAGAAAAAAAGAAAGTGCACCTAATCAGTCAATCATACATCAGTAAAAACAGAGAAGGAAAATAAAAATCAAAAGTAAAAACACAAATTTGAAAAGAAGTATACGAAATTAGAGCAAATCCAAACCAAAAAAAGATAAATAAATAAATGAAAAATGTTAAAATATTTCTAAATTGACAACTCCATCTTGTTGCCTATGAAAATATAACCCTTCTAACTCTGAAACAATGACAAAATTTTGTTTTGCATACTTTTTTGAATGATCACATCTTGTAAACTCACTCCAGTTCATAAATGCTACGTTCATGTCAACTTAAGCTTTTATTATGGACAATAACCAAAAAAAAAGAAAAAAAAAAAACTTTGAATCAATCCACTAATGACTGTAAAAAAATATTAGTGACCTGATTTCTCGATGAATCCAGGCTGTTTTGTTTTACAGAAACTAATCACCGGTGAAGGAAAAAATAAACCTTGGTTGCGTCAATCCAAAATTCAAGAATGTAAACCCAATCAGCCAATCAAACATCAGTAAAAATAGAGATGGACAAAAAAACAAAAAAAAAAAAATCAAAAGCAAAAACACAAATTCGAACAAAGCACCCGAAAGTGGTATTCGCCATGATATAAAAGTGGGAGATTGTTTCATCATTTGCTCGGAATAACATGTAATGTTGCGGTGTAAGTGTATAGGCAAGTGGTTTGAGTTGTTCGTGTATTATACTTTCACAGGGGAAATGAAATGATGATTTTTTTAAAATGAGCTATGTTTGAATTAAAAGTGGGATTACACCCATTGGACATTTACTCACCTTTTGAAATTATTCATTATTATCCTGTTAAATTTAACTATATATAACCCGTGCGTTGCACGGTGGGTATTAAGATATTATTATATAATGTGTGTAAAATAATATTAATTGTACATGTCACAATTAAGTATAAAAATTGAATCACATTTTTATTGTGAAATTATCGCGATTGCGATTGGCCCTACCTCTTATCTATTGTCATCGCAAAACATGCGATGAATGGAATTGCCTTCGTATAAGAGGATTGGGAATTGCCTTCGCTTAAGAAGAAGAACCGACGAACCTTATTCCGTGTTTATTTTTATCTTTCTATTTTTATTTTGTTGACAGTTCATTGAACAAAAAAATAAAAAAAAAAAAAAAGAAACCAAGCATTTACATATTTTTTTCTTTAAAAGTGTTACCTATCTCTGAAAGGTCTGTCTTTTAGGGAATCTCATTCCATCTTCATTTTCATCTTTAAAAGTATGTCACTTTATATTGTTCTGCATAAAAAAAATTCCAAGTCTCAGGTAAGTTAAAAACCAGCAATGGTTTTGGCTGCAATTTTAGTTTTTTTAACAATCCGTTGAACAAAAAAATTAAAAAACGAATAAGAAACGGCGAAACTCATTCCATCTTCATTTTCTTCTTTTTATCTTCATTTTTGACAACCTGTTAAAAAAAACGACCGAAGCATTATTTACTTGTCCAAAAAAAAAATATTCAAAAGTGTTATCTATTTACTTGTCAAAAGACATTTTCAGGTCTTCGACTCGGGAGGGGGGGGGAGGGGGGGAGGGGGCTGCATTTCAAACCTATTAAAAACGATCACCATTAATTACCCCAAAATTTCAAATATTGTCAATTAAACTCATGCTCGTTTTTTAATCTATTTATCTACCATTAAAAAAAGTAAAAATTAGAAAGTAACTCAGATTTGATAGTGTAGAATAAATATATGATCTGTGATAGTCCATTATTGGGATTCTAAGAGTTTAAGGAAATTTTGGCTGCTATTTTAGTACTTTTTGATAGCCCGTTGAACAAAAAAAAAAACAAACAAAGCGGCAGATCTCATTCTGTCTACATTTCATCTTTCTATCTATGTTTTCGACCACCCATTGAACAAAATAAATAAATAAATAAATAATTGAAACACTACTTACTTGTCCAAATTGTTTTCGAAAAGTGTTATCTACTTATAAAAGGGTCGTCTTTGAATTTTCGAATCTTATTCTAGCTTAATTTCTATCTTTAACAACATATCATTCTGTATCGTCCGGCTTAAAAGATTTCGAGTTTTTGGAGGTACGATAGTTTTGCTGTATTTAATTATTTTTTGACAACCCGTTGAACAGAAGAATAATAATAATAATAAGAAGAGGAAGAAGCAACAAATCTCATTCCGTCTTCATTTTCATCTTCCATCTTTGTTTTGTTAACAACCCGTTGAACTCTCCCCCCGCCCCCAAAAAAAAGAAATCAAACATTAGTTACTTGTCCGAAGAGAAATTCTTCAAAAGTGTTATCTAATTATGAAGAATCGTCTTTCGGTGGGTCTCATTCCATCTTTATTTTTATCTTTAACAGTACGTCACTCTGTATTGTTTTGGTTAAAAGATTCTGATTTGTTTAGTAGGTTGAAAACGAATAATGGTTTTGGTGCAGTTTTAATACTTTTTTGACAATCTCTGTTGAACCACAAAAAAAAGAAAAAGGAATACGAACTGGAAGATCTCATTCCATCTTCATTTTCACCTTTTCATCTTTGTTTTCGACAGCCTGTTGAACCAAAAAAAAAAAATTAATAATGACCAATAACTTTTTACTTACCAAAGAGAAATTCTTCAAAAGTGTTATTTAATTTCTTATCCAAAGAGATTTCAAGGTCTTGGACACGGTAGGCATATGCATTTAGATAATAATATTTGAATTTCATTTTGTTTTTATCACCATATACAAAATAAAACAAAACGCGTTTCTTGATCTAAACCCGTCAAATACCATCACCACAAATCACCCCAAAATTTCAAATATTATCAAGTAAACTCATTTCACCTATATAAACTTATATCGTGTTTATCTATCTCTTTGTCTGCGGTTTACAAAAAAATAAAAATTAGGAATAAAATCAAATTTGAATATGTAAAATAAATATCTAATTTTTGACAACCCATTATTGGGATATTTAAAGGAATATTGACAAAAAGGTGTAATGTAGTCTCTTCCTCATTAAGATATCTTTCGCAACCTTTGGAGTAGAGCGTCGAGTTCTTGTCAAGAGAGGTACCAATTTTCACATAGATTAACAAAACTAAATTAACTAATAATTTTTATTTAATCTCCTCTAGTCAATATATTAATAATTCTTAAACCATGATTTTAATTAATTCTTGAAAATTATTGAAACCAATTGGGACCATTAGAACGTTCCTATTTGCAAATTATCAAATAGTCATAACACATATAAAATCTATTATAGTCATTAATTCATTATCAAATTAGTACAATCAATCCAGAAGAAAGAAAAAAAAAAGAAAAAAGAGTGAGCAAGCATTCTTCCAATTAATATTGATTAGAAAATACTATAGCCACTAATTATTTTTTTGAGTTAATTATTTTGTATCAGTTGTAAGAGTATATATCATAATACAACTTCAGATTTTTGTCCATATTTGGTATGGGCGGCTTTGTGTTAAATTAAACAATACTAACAGATCAAATGGAATTGCTAATCGATATTCCTTTATGATAGTACAATAAATTAATAAAAGCTCTCCATAACTACACCAGAGGGTAATACTACTTTCATGGTTGTTTAAAATTATTGTGTTCGAAGTTTTAATATAAATTTATGCCTTTTTTTTTCTTCTCAGTCCCCCAAATATATTTTCTCAACAATTTCGTAATTAGCAAAAATATTGCACTATGGAAAGCATTTTTCACAAGTTCTATTATTTTGATGTTTAAATCTCTATATGTATGTACTCCCGACACGCATCCTGCTTTCGGGTCAACGAATTTAGCCCATAACCAAAAAGATAACTTATGAGGTACAATCGTC